CCCCTGAGCCACCCAAGTGCCGCAAAAGTGAACTCTTTACCTCTGAACACGATAACGATAACTACGTGAATTCTGGTGGAAAAGACGTAACAGTTCCGGTTCAAATTTATTTCCCATCCAGGTAAGGTTCAAAATCCCCACCCTTCGGACATGGACGACAGAGAAATTTTCTGGGAGACCTGCCCCTTGCCGAGGGGAAAGAAAGAGTGTTGAAGCTTCGAATTGATCGGTGCAATGCATTGCGGAATTTTGAATTATAGCGGGCTGGAATATTCATTTTATGTTCCAGGGAAACCCCGCGACCTTCGATGGCAGGGATGTTGTCAATATCGACGATAAATGAAGATGATAATTCTAACGGTGTAGTGTTGTACATTTTCACTAGTAAGCCGGGTTCTTCATTTTCATCAACCAACTGATAACAAACAACGAAAATAGCCCCAATCTGCCAAAGAGAATGAATTAATACTCCAAGGGATATGAAAATCACATTTATGACAAAAAAGTCGTGTAAGAAATTTTATCTCCCTGATAAAGAGATGAGCCGGGCTAATGGCTTAGATTATCATCTAGATCTCCGAGCATGGAAAGTCCGAAAGTGTGAGTTCGATTCCATTTGTTATTTTGATTGGTAGGTCGATGAAAGCGTTCAGACAGTGGGTGATGAGGTGGTTAGCGCGCCAGCTGACTTGTGGGAGAGTAAACCGGCCTCTGCTGAGTATTGGTATAAGAAAAAAGGTTGGCGAAAGAAATTACGTTGTTTACACATACAAATTTCAATAGGAACAATAACCCTGTTTCAAAATAATTTTTCCAGAGGTAGAGGCTATAGCCAAAACTTCTTTAACATATTTGTATGTGAAAAAGAAATATGATAAATTTTACTCCAATTTCTATTCTGCAGCGATTGAAGACGCCAAACCCAAGTTGGTGATAAGGAGAGCGTCTGGTGATAAGGTTAGTATGTCTATTGTAATCTCACCTAAACTTATCTTGACTCTAACCCTTTAACTCCCAAGATCTGATTACTAATTCTCCCCCCAGCTCCTACATTTCCTTGTAAATCAGTTATGAGAATTCAGAGTTAGATCAAGGCAACAACTTCTACCTGATAAGTTGAAGTTTTCTCAATACCTGTTTGCAGGAGAATGCATTGATATTATAGGGAGAAGTTCCATGTTAATCACTTCTGGGATTTAAAGGGTTAATGCCTAAGAGGGAATGCACATTCTGAATGGCGCATTTACATATTCAAAACTAAATTTATATGTACGTTCATTTTTACTTTCAGCTCAGCTTGACAATTAAAGAAGTTCAACTGGTGTTGGTGAATGAGGTTGAAGGTGCCCATATTCCTTTGCTGTTGATTCGCTCATGCGCGAAAGGCAAAGTGTTTGATTGGTCTGCTCAGGTAAGTTAAAGAATATGTGAAGCTGAGATGAACCATATCCTTATCAGCTTTGATGTTTGACCCCCTTGTTAAAGAGTTTTGTGGGATTCAATGTAATAAAGGCGAGCTCAAAATGTAACTGGATCATTTAATCTCTGTGTGATAACTTCAGGGGTTTCAATGACTTTATCCCTAAGGGGCTGCCAATGGAGTAATGAGCAGCTGTGCCCGGAAACGAACCGAAAGGCGAAAACGAAACCCAAACACGAGGGTCTGCAAAGCCTCAACAGATGGCAGTAAGAGTTCTTATAGGCGGCGGTACACCGCCGGTCACAAGTTTGTAATGAAACCCTTGTAACATTATTTTACTTTTTCACTTGTAAAACAGCTAAAAGTTGAAGCAGATGTAGCGGCACAGGTTTGTTACTACAATGAGTGTCTTGCTGTTTGGGAGCCACTGTTGGAGCCGGTTGTAGTCGAAGACCAGAAAACCATGTGGGAAGTGCAACTGAAGGTGATAGTTAGATGTGTTCCTGCTTGCAATGACCATGTTGTTAACCCTTAAAAATCCAGGATAACTTGAGCATTTCTCCTAACTGTATCACCCCTGACTCAAGTATTTAGGTTATAAGAATCATAGCAAGACCTATGATGCACCAATATCCTATCCGTGAAGAGTCTCGACTCACCTAGTCAGTTTATTCTTGGGAGACCGAGCAGTGTTGTGGGCCACTTTCTCGCAAGAGTAAACAAACGTGTAGAAAGACCATTACTTTGTGTTGCAAAAATGTAAGCGAACGCTTTTTCTCCTTGTAGTTTTTCCTTGCCGATGGATACGTTTCAAGTTTCTCCCCGAAAGATTCAGAATTGTGTGACGGTACCCCGCGAGATGTTACGAATGCTCATCAAACTGGAGATGCGACAGACTCTGGTCTGCGCTCTTTGGCTCAAAAGAGATCTTCATTCAGAAGGAAACGGCGTTTGTCTTCAGAACGGCGAACATGGTACAATTTTGTGATTGATAAGCACATGTCGTGGAAAGTAGCACGGCAAACTTCCTTTCCGGTGTGCAAAAATAGGGGTCCGTGGAAGGTTGTCTGTAGCCCTAGTCCATTTTAGGGATCTGTGTACCAAAAGTCAGTTTTCTCGGGAATTCGTTTTCGTTGAAAGTTGTTGCCAAAGTGACATGGGAGATTAGTGCTGTTTTAAACACACATTTGCACGTAAATATAATTTGTGACAGCTATCTCTAATGTTCATCTCGACGGAAATGTTTCACTTTCTGAGATGAAAAAAATTTATCTATCGTTGCAGGCCAAGAAGGAAACAAAAGCGTCGTCCACGAATAACCGGCCCAGCAACTGACGATGAAGGTGATCTTGATTTCAACGGGGCCTTGACTACGTTCATCCAGTCCACTCAGACGGCATTCATGGACCCGTCTTTGGAGGTTGAGAGCGACAGTGCCATAGATGTGGTTGATGCGCCGCAGGATGGAGTCGGGGCTCCTTCCGCTGACCATGATGACAAGCCGACGCAAGCCATGTACATGGTCATCAGTTCACATGATGTTATGCAATTGACCGTTACTTCTACAGCTGTAAAAATTCTATCTGAGCTGAGCGAGGTATTAGAGACCTTTATATTCTAAAGCGAGTAAGACTGCCAGTTCTAATTGAATCAACACGCGCAAACTTGCGTTAATTTGGCGGGTAAATACGACAGCCTTCAACAGCTCTAACTTGTGATAAATACAGAATAAGGGCGCTACTCTGAACTCGGCAGAGATACGTTTGTGGTGTTGGGTTTATTTTTCATTTTTTTTCTATGAACGACTGTCAATATTTTGGGCGTTTTTTTTTATTGTAAGCCTTAGAGGTTCTGGATTAGTACATGATGTAAAGTTACTTTTCTTTCTTTGTTGATGTCAGCGTAGTTGATACTATTGGAGTCTTTGTCTTTTTATTTTCTCAGCTGTGGACGATTGATAGAACGAAGAAACTGAGAACAGTTCCTCTGGCAACCTTTGTCATCCATAACGAGGTGTGCTGTAAAACGACAACGGTCTCCATTCTTGTCGTTATTTTTAGAAGACGTTTGCTTTACATCGTATTTAGCGGTAGTGAAACCTGTTTTAGCGGACATCCGCTTCTCAGTTGTTAACAGAAATTAAGAGCGCCTCAAAATTAGAGGTAATTTGTATTTGCAGTAAATGGTTTCAACCCAGGGGTGACGTTTGATCCTGTAGTCTACTGATCTAGTGAGGTTAGTTCTGAGAAGAACGGCGGAAGTCATCATAACAGTAGAGATGACTCGACTGATCCGCTTAGGATAATTTCCACTCAGGTTGTCGAAACGTCAGTCACTTCTACCTTCAACGGTTCTTATAAGGACTACCCTCTCCTGGGCGATCAGACTACTAGAACTAATTAATTTGTTTATAATTATTTAAAATAAATTAGTTTGGTTGGCGAGATATTCAAATATAAATTAGCTAATAGGTGCACACTTTTTTAGCTTGGAATCCATGCGGCAGTGACAGTGAGCCATAAGCTTCAGGTATGTGCTATTCAGATAGAGCACCTACTACCATATTTTCTCTTTTACCGCCTACGAGTTCTGTGTTTCTACATGGTTGGCCAGGGTCTTTGTTTATCGGGTAAGATGCTTTCTTTTCGTGGTGGCTCTCTACAATCGTGTAAAATAGTTTAGGACCGTTAACTCTCTGATAAATTCTGGCAGGTACGCTAGTTAATCTCGTATGTGGACAACATGGGTAACATGGCTCGTAGATTTTCCTAAAACGTCCTATGTGAATTTTTCTTATTAGGATGAACAAATGTCTGGTGTTTGTTGTATGTTCTAGCTAAAGCATCTCTTTTTTCTTGCCAATTGTCTTTTTTTACCATTAGGTCTCAGATACGGAACAGTTAACCGTACGTCAGAGAATTCCGAAACTGCCAACCATAGGGAATTCTGGCCTTGCAGATGTCGCCGTAGACCTGGCCAATAAGACACAACGATATCCACGTGACGATTTTGTGCGTTCAATAACCGAGCCAGTATTTAATCGCCTCAGGGAGAAACTCTACAAAATACGAAGGAAAAGAACCTCATCTGATCCGGTGACTCTCGATGCCATCAGGCAGCGTAAATTGTCCCTTCAGGGTGCAGTTTCTTTCCAAATCGGCCCAGAAGAATTTAGGAAAAAACTTGCTTTAAGGAAGGGTCTTTCTCTTGATTCAGTCATGACGCAGACGGATGGAAACACTGATACCCAACAAACACGCACTGAATTGTCCTCAGAGCGAGATAAGGTCAAAGTTAGGAAGGAAAGCGAAGAGGAAACGTTAAATGCTCTACCACACCTTGAAGAACGTGAAGGGGAAGACAGTGAGTGACCCGAGTGCAAGTAACCAAGTAAAAAACACTAAATATGGAGAGGCTTCAATCTTACAAAAAAGCGACCAAAGGATCCCACGACAACATTCCTAGATAGCTTTCTTTTTTTTTGTTTTTTTTTCCGAAGAAATAGAATCGAACTCTTTTTGAGATTTACTTAAATGTCATCTGCTTTATTGTTTTTTTTTTTCAATTTTTTTCAGCTGTATTTATTGAGGTCTCCTGTTTACATGTAAATTGAATGCTCGCCGCGAAAGTGTTTTATCATTATTATCGCAAAAAAAATTGTTTGAAAATGAACTCTAAGGAAAGAGTACAGTCTAATAAGTTTTAAACAACTTAAGTGAATGAGAAATATGAAAGCCGCCATGCAGAATACTTTGTGGTCAAAAATTAAGAGAAGAGTTTATCCAAATCACGCAAAGAAATCTTTGCGTATCATTCTACTCTGAGATTTTCGAAATTGTATTTTATGATATTACACATTTGAAATGTGTCCGAAAAAAGTTGACTGAAATGTAAAACCTTTTTTCGCTACAGGTCTTGCCGAAACGCAAGTGGGTCATGCAATTGCCAACATCGGTTCTTTGGTTGGTGGGTTGCTTTCACCTCATCATGAAAGAAAAAACAAGGACAAGCGCAGAGGAAAGTTCGGCTCTGATGATGCTACGTACGATGACAACATTATCTCTTTAACTGTAAGTTACCTTCTCTCCTCTTTTCAGTCTTTATTGCTTGTTCATAGTCTCAAAAGTCTATTATAAATGTGATAACCTTATTTTATTGTTGTTGCGATCTTGAAGTTATAACAGATATACTTAAACAGTGTGCCCTGGTTTAAATAAAATTACTTATAATTGCTCGTGTTCAACAAAGTTGAGTCAAGCACTCACTACAACCACTGATTCAGGACAAGTTAACCTCGAACAACAAAACATGTCCACATTTATTAGTCTGTGGTGACGGTGAAACCCTTTCTTATCTAAAGTTTCATTTAGACAGTTAATTTATTCTCTTCATGCGTCTATGCACTTAAGGCCTCGGGCAGAGAACACCATTAATTTCTGTCGGTTACCTGTCGGTTAAGGCAAGGTGCCTTCGTGTCCAGCCCCTGTGCCTCTTTTCCCTTCCTACGCCTCTCTTTCAAGTTTCTTTGGGGAGGCCTAAGGGAGTCCATCGGAGGCATGCACTTTTGGGCAGGGCTAAGGATGGCATTTGGTGAATATGGCCAATCCATCTTCATCTTCTTCTTCTAAATGAAACTTATTTTCGCTAGGTGGATGGGTTTTACCATATGAATGTCATCTCCGTTAGTCGCTCTGGATCGTTCCTGCACGAGCTTTCTCCACGAGATGCACCGTTGTGTGAGGTAATTAGGATAACAGCGTTGTATGACAGCTTGCGAAACTAAGTTTATTTACGAAACCCCCGTTATTTTGGCCAATTCGGCGGGCTGTATTTCACTGTACGGCCCGCTAATTTCTAAAGTTTGTGTAAATTGAATATCCCCCATCTATTTGAAACCAGAGATATAATAAATGACTTACTAACCTAGTTTTCTCGGTCCGCACTGTAAGTTACGGAGGCTCGTTTTTCCCACACGGATTTATGGGCCACGCGCTTCGCGCTTCGCGGTTACCGTTCTTCAAGGTGCGACCTTTTTGGTCGCCATGGCAAGTAGAAAAAAATGTTGGCGAGTAAATTTTTAGATAAAGTCGCTTTTACGTAGAGTTTTTTGTCTAAAGTTTAAGTGAGATAAGTGTATGCATAAAATGTTGTTAATTCTCTCTAGAAAATTTCCTCTTCATCCTTGGTTGTCTTTGTATTTAGCCTGGAGATATTCTCTGTACTTCAAAAAACGAACGCTAGCCTTTTTTTCCCCAGTTTTTCTTCGATAAATTTCAGTATTTTTCTGACGAATTAACTTTCAATCTCTGCCAAACATTTTATGATTTTACATCACCAATTGGTGGCTATGAAAGTAGGTCCCACTGAGTCCTGAGTTTTATTAATTTTGTTTTCATTTTGTTTTCAGGCAAAACACAAGTGGTTTGTCGTTGTTCAAGTAGATATAAAACGCGGTCGTAAAACAGTCACTATTAGGTCACCACTGCGGGTAAGATGTCTATTGTGTTTTCTCACCAAAACTTTAACCCACCTAAAAGGTGTCCACCGTGTTTAATCATCTTTATCGAAATATATATTTGATGTCATCATAAACTCTTTCTAGTGTCGTGGTCATTATTGCCGTGAATGTGTGTAATAATTGCAGGAAATTCGAAATTTACTTGCCTCGCGGATCATCTGAGTACATTAAACATCTGCAAATATTACCCCTCCCCATTTTGGTTGGTACTCTAACATTGAGCTGCTGCAGGGTTCAAAATAGTGGCCGATCAACAAACTATCTCTGGTTCAATACGTTTGTTCTATGTGAGGGGGGGGGAGGTGGAATTTGTTGCGATGTGACGTAATGGATATTTGTCTGGCCAAAAATGGGTTGCGTCCGAGCAAAAATACGTTTGACCGGATAACTTGACCGGGGTCAGCCGGGACATTTATTCGAGTCTTGTATTGCAATCTTAATCGTTTAATAGAAGCCTGTGAAATTCTCTCGTAGATCCAAAACCACCTTCATGTCCCAGTGGATATTTTCGTTAAGAGACGAGATTCATTAGAATCGGGAGAAGACCATCCTTTCAAACTCTTCAGCGTGGAATCTGGTGGTGTGCAGAATGTGCCTTTACATACGGCTTACAACGAAGAGCTTTTCTTTAAACCTGGTGGTACTGAGTAAGTTAGGTCCTTTAGCTCAGCAAAGTAGCAGAATTATCTTTCAGAATTATTTCGTGTTTTTCCATATTTCTCCGTTGTGGATTTGTAAGGGAAAACTTCTGCAAAACGTATCGGAGTGCGAAGTACAACCTAAACTGGAACATAATTAACCTAACCGCCAAAATACATTCAAACTTTGTTGCAGATAATTATTCTCTTCAATCATTTCATGCGACATAACTGCATCATATTGTCTTCTGAGCTCATTCTGGAGTCGTAGTTCCCATGCTTTCGGACGTGGGGAAATGCTGTCTCCACCCCAACCTCGCCCCGTATCAGCCACATTGTTGTGTACTGCCTCAGAGATGACGTTCTGTGCATAGTTTCTGCCTGAAAACGGTTTTAGATTTCGACCTTTGTGTTCTTGACAAGGCTATGCTTTTCAAAGAAACCACTACAGTGCATTCGTCTTTTTTGACTCCAAGTACATGAAAGAGAAAAAGGAGCAATCAAATTTTATCATTCGAACTGAATGTTTTGGATGAAATGTGGTGATTTGTTTTTATTTCAGTTTTGATATCTCATCTTCCTCGATATCGTGGAGAAAGTTTTCCACAGGAGAGCCGTCTCACGTATTGTCTTGTTCGTCAACGATAACTTCAGAGTCTTCCTCCCCTTTTTTCATCAAGGTACAGTTCTGTTTGATGGAATTACTTAAAATAGATCTTCTAGCTTGCATGTAAGATCTAAATTTACTATTTTTGTCTCCAGGCCCTTTGTTTAACAGACAGCTTGAACAAACTGCCAACTAGTGACGACTCTCCCCATCATGTGATCCATTTGTACCCTCCCTTAGTCGTGCAAAATAAACTTCCATTTGAGCTAGTCTTATCAACAGAGGTAGGTAATCGTTTTGTTAATAATCCCTGCTACTATCAAAACCTTTGTGACCAATAGGGAAAGTCCTCTCGAGGAAGGTATTTTAGGGCTATGTTCGATGGAGTGTTGAAATTAATCCAAGTTTGGCTCAGTGATTGGTCCAGAAAACACGGGCACATCTCTCAACCAATTAGATTCTCTACTAAAACAAATCACGACTTGGTCACCTCGTCGTTCCGCGGTTGACTTGTTCTCACTTTGAGTTCGCATTAGTGGATGATGACTTTATTTTTGCTCTAACTGGCCGTTTTGATAAATCTGGTTTTGGTTTTTCAACACTTAACTGAAAACTGCTCCGTAAGGCCTGGTTTCCTGTTTTTACGTATCTAGCGTATCTTTGGCAATGGGGAGGATATGGAAACCTCGATAAACAATCTCTGACAACTGAGCTTATCCTTAAGCATGGTGTTAACCCTTAACTGTAAAAAGGGATTGATATGTAACTTGTCTTTACCTTCCTGTCTTTTACCTGTTTGTCGAACGATTTTCTCGCAAATATGTAGAAACCCCTTTCTCACACCGTTGCTTGTTACTTGGGTGATTGCAGTCGCTGCGTTTCCCCTTGAGAGGAGGGATAGTATATTCATACTGTTCAGGTACCGAAAACTCCACTGATGGGTGGATTGACTTTCGATTAGGTTTCATAATATAGTAAGGAAGAATCAAACTGCAAATATCTTAGATTAAAATTTAAGTGTACGAAGATAATTTGAGAAATTTTTTCTATTTTTCTTTATTTCACTAGGGGGGAGGTGGAGAAGGCAAAGTACTCAGTGCTGGTGATAAAGTAACTTTTGTCAATGTTTGTCCTGGAGATGATTGCAAAATAACTGTTACGGTAATACAGTATTATTCGTTTCAATAACTTTAAAAAGTATTTGGTTTTCATTTTGGGTGAAAATGCTTATGTTCGTCTTTTCTGATCATCTTGTTCAATAATATCGAATCAAATCAATTGATCATCAATTTATAATTTATATTCAGTTATTTCAACATGCTCATCGGCCAAGAGCGCTTGTTTGTATCAAATTGTACTCGAAATGAATTGATTGCCTGTACAAATTTTATAGATTCGATTTTAGTTATAGGCTTTTTTCATCGTATTTGAAACTGTAATTGTTTTCGTTCCAATGCTATAACATTCATTTAATAGTTCTTTTTTTATTTATGCAAGCATATATGGGGCACAAATCCGATGCAAGGACATTCGCATAATGACTCTTTCAATTTTTTATTTTCAATGCAAAGCTTAAAGATTACGGAGAAGCCAATTGGGTTGGAGATATCTTTGTGAAGAAACAACGACACAAATCCCGTCAATTACTTATGCGTTCACAGATAGACACCTCCAAAGAATTGGTAAGTTACAATGTATTTCTCCACCTTGCCTTACTTCTTTCATCCAGACTTAGTTCAATGGTATCCTCTCGTATAATTCTTTAAACAATTTTTCTCGAGTGTGATAGCTTTAAAAGTGTTTCGTTATTGAATATGGAGCTAAGCACAAACGCGAACGGAAGCCTGAAGTTAAAAGTTTCCATTTCTATGGCTCTCCACGCCTTTTTGGTCAGCATAATTTGGTTTAAGGTGCTAAAACGACTCTACGGTCGATTCATCGGCGTAAAAACACGCCAGAATTAGTTTTATTACTCTTCCAGTTGCCGCAGCGTCTCTAAATCGCCTCTGCATGAGTTCTCTAATATACCCTAAAACGTGGGAATGCCCTTTTCTATATTCCATCTTTCTAAAGTTAAAGGCGTATAACTGAGTTTTGCCGATCGACATATATAACTTGTTTGTCCGTCTCTGTTTGAAACTGCGCGATACTAAAGCTTAAATAGACGTGGAAAAGTATGGGAATAGTAAAATTTAACAATTTGTAACGTTAACTTCAGAAGAAATCTTCCATTAAAAAAATGATTCGTCAAAGTTTCAAAGGTAAGTTGTATTTTTTTGTTTTGTTTCTGTTTTGTTAGTCGCTTGGAGTGAAATCGATGCCCCAACAAGGGACAAGAGAGCTGTTGATCTACTCTCCCTTCTGGCTCATCAACAAGACTGGACTCCATGTGGAGTACAGGGTAAGGACAAGAAGCCAGCGGCTTTTTGGTGTTTTCCTTATTATCAATGCATTGTCTTTCTAGTGTTGCCGGCTACCATTCATGTCCAGTGTGCAACGATAAGAACAAGTCGACGAAAGCTATTTTTAATCCAAGGCAAACCGGTGCCACGCGCTGGAAACGCTGGTTACCCTCAATTTTCTTATTTTGAATCTGTTTCTTTTTCATCCGTTTTATATTTGTAATTCCCCTACCTATCCCAAGTGTGGAAGCCATGAACCAATCTCTCTACACTGAGCAAAAAACACATTTACCAGAATGATGGATAACTTCTTGAATTTGAATCAATTCCTTCTTGTTAAGGTCTCAAGATGTGAACAAGTTTATCGTCAGTCTGCTGTAGAACAACATCCACTTCTTTTTAACTTCACTGAAAAAACCTATAGAAAGGTAGGTGTGAAATATAGTTTGTCTTACACCAGAGCACTGTCTGCGCATAGGCACATTGGCGCATACCGCTATGCGTTGTGATGACGGGCTTTCTTAGCATCAACTGAATTCGGAGTTAAGCGTGCAAAAATACTGCTTCCTCTAAAAAGCCTTTTGCGGTCGACAGAAACTATAGATAAGTTACAAAAAAAAGAAAAATGATCACAAACACAAATGTTTTGGCAGCACATCGAGAAACGTTTGGTTTGCCTACCTTGTTATCGTGTGTTAGCAGCCATGAGTTGACAAGAATACAAGTGAAAGTTGCTTCGGAAAAGACGTGTTTGCTGTCCTTGAATCTGGAATTATTTTATTGTTTGTTTGTTTGTCTTCCCAGGCCAAGATCAGACTGCCTGGACATCCATGGTCGAACAAATTTTCTCTGGACGCTGTTGGAGATTCTGGAAAGGTAACATGCAAAGGAAGTGACTCAAAAAGGTTTGAGGTAAGATAACTAGAGTTAGTACTGGAGGTACATGTAGCGACCTTTATTGTAACAATGTTTATGAATTCTGTGTTCCGAATTTGGCTCTCCAAGTGATACAGTTACATCATATCGACTCGGAATTACCTTCCTTGTTTCCGTTAGGAATAATGCTTCAACCTGCTCTCCGATACGTTACAAAGGAATAGAGAAGAGAAAGCTGGAACCTGCCCAAAAATGATATCTTGACCTCTCGCTCAGTCGATGACGTAGTCATATTTATTTTCGTCTCAGTCCTTGTTCGTTCATTTTGTTTTATACCCCTTGTCATATTGTTTCAGTTTATCCTACAAATTGAAATGTCCAGGACAGGGCTGACAAGGGTTGTGACGTTAACCCCGAAATACGTCATCATTAACAACACGGAGGTATGTGACATTCATTGCCCCTTTACAAAGTTTCCGTATTACCTCGCCCGGGCGCTTATTTAAAATTTCAGCTAAGAAGGGGCGCTTATTGGAGGGAGGGCGCTTAATCGAGGGGGGCGCTTGTTCAATTTTCCTTTCAATAAACTAACTTTATTTTAGCTAAATATTTAAAAGAAAAACTAAAACTACAGCAATGTCTGCGTAGACGCGAAGTTGATATCTAGATAGAAAAAACTGGAAGTGACTTAACGAAAAAGAAACCATTCTCATACACTGATTCCACTGTTTTTAAAGCTTTAAAAGTCAGAAATATAGTGGCAATAGAAACAGGGTTTCTTTATATCCCTATAGTGTAAGAAAATAAGGAAGGAGGGGGCAGCATAATTAAGAGTGGCGCTTGTTTCACATAGTGGCCAAGGGGTGGGTGCTAAATGGGAGTGCGCTCATAGAGCGCGGACACGGTACCTTTAAAAGGTTACCTGGTTATGAAAAAAAGTGGTTAGAATCTATACTTAACTAAAGGCCAGTTCCCCCCACCAACAACACAGCAACAACACGGCAACAACACAGCAACAACACAGCAACAACACAGCAACAACACAGCAACAACACAGCAACAACACAGCAACAACACAGCAACAACACAGCAACAATACAGTCTGCTTTTGGCTATGAGAGCCAAAACACCCTAGAAGCTAAATCCTTGGGGGCGGGAGATATCTTTATGGGTAGCTCATGAAGGAAAGTACCCTCTTCCCCGACTCATCGTTTATACCGGAATTTCTTTTTGTTTGATTGTGTTTATTCAGTTTGTTTTGCTTTTTATGAATTGTATATAAAAAAGATGGAAAACAGATTTAAGTTTCTTAATAATCTTTATTACTAATATCCTTTCTAAACCTTTTCTTCGCAGATTTCGTTCTCTTTTATTGAAAATATAGACAGAAAGGCTTTGTGGTTTGTTGTGGAACCAGGAGAAGTAAGTGAATCACACCATCACAACTTTCTACACATTTATTCGAATAAAAATGGCAGACTGAACTATTTTTGCGTTTTTAAAATTTATGACTGGAAGATGGAGAGATGAAATCGTTGTAGTTTCGTCTTCAGCCGGGAAAATTTACCTGCTGCTGGTAGGAATGAGATTCAGGGGCACCCAATACACAAGTGTTAACAAACCGTATTTACCCCTCGAGCCACCGGGGCTTTATTGAGTAGAACTGAAAATGTTTATATCAATTGTCAAAATGTTACAAAACCTTTTTTTCGGTAATGGTTAGTCCAGAATACAAATTTGAGAACCGTTTGCCTATGGTCTCGTTTTTTAGAGCAAACCATTTTGGCCCAATGACAAGTCCAGTTCAATCGTGTTGAAGCCAACAATGTCAAAGTTCATTTCGAAGCCTTTTAGTTTCGACTCATCGCACACGACAGTTCTTCGGATTCCGGATTGGCAGGCTCTCACTGTCGACGTTCATGGAGAGGTCGAAGAAGCCGTGACAACTGTAGTGGTGTCACCTTACTCGCCTGGAATTGCAACAATCAGGATTGAAAATCTGTGTGACGATATTCCGATCCGGTTTCATCAGAAGTAAGTTCAGTGGCAGCACGTACGTAAGATGATATGATTATGTCCATATTTTTGAAAGCTAACCTGGTATTGTAGACCAATGCGATTCTAGTGCGGAAAAACGTTTATATAGAATGATCCTCTCTTTGCGAATGCAAATTTTGGGTGAGATGGGGGAGCGCCTTCCTCTTCATTTTGCTCTGATTTTCATATCTTCCGATGCATACTGAGACAATGGTTAACTGAAGTGCTGTGGGTGGGCGATAATGTGTTACTGATACCTCTATTTTTTAAGAAACAAATGTCACTTTTCTTCAATTCGCAATTGCTCCTGATTGAGTACCAATAACTTTCAGAGGCTGTGGGCAGGTGACGTTGCTTGACTCTAAGCAGATGATCCTGTACACTTGGGATGATCCATTAGGTGTAAGAAAACTGCTCTGGAAACCGTTCAAGGGCTTAGATAAGCCAATTGAGGCTCAAGTTGATGAGGTAGGATCTCAAGAAAAAGCAGTTTTCGTTGAATTTTATTTGTATCTGTCTTCGACAATTACTCGTATTTGATGCCATTTTTGTTTGCAATGATTTTAATATATCGCGTTGTTGTGATCCAGTATCAGTGTCTTTACTGGAGATTTGCAGATTTATTCAGAAGAGCGGCACTTGCATCTTTCTGTAATACCTGCTAAAATTCTTAAGGAAACATTCAGAAATTTTAGTGTAACTCAGCAGCCTTACGAAGGTAGCTCTCCGATGAATTTCCAAAAGGCTCTTTTCCAGGTTCTTCACTTCTAGCAAAGAAACGACCCATTTGAAATTGAATTGTCCAGTAGAAGGGCATTTATCGGCAAGAGTTCTATACATTTCGCTGAACGGTGCATATTTCCCTTTTTTCACCCCCCCTCCCCCCTCCATTCTGAGTATTTGCCTAATTAACTTAAAATTGTAGGACAGCTTCGGCGAAATTCGAATGGAACTCGATGAAATCTCCCCACCAGTTAAAGATGACCGAAATCAGTTGGAAGACAGAGACAGCACGTGCGGATTGTTTTGCGGCTCGTCAAATGCTGTACCTGTAGGAATAGATGAGGCAGAGTGGGATACTGTGGATGGGCCGGTGGTACACAGGGTTAAGAAGACTATCTACTGGGTGTCTGTCATGGACGGACTGCAAAGGGTGCTGATATTTGCTGATGATGAAAATCTTTCCTGTCTGGCTCGGAAGGTATTAGAAACTGGATTAGAATCAAGCTCATTTTCTTGTAATCACGAAACAAATACACTTGCTTTCAAAAAATGAAAGAGATCGCTTTTGGAACTTTTGAAAGTTTAGAATAAAATATGTTCTTTTATGTCGTAAATTTATTGCAGTCGCTTTAATGATTTCAGTGTTGTGACTCTGAAGTTGTTACTATGGAGATTTTCATGTCACTGGATGGTGTCGGTTTGTCACTGGTCAACAGCAAACCTGATGAAGTTGCATACATAACCTTGTCCAGGTAATGTTTCTCCTCGGTGTTTTCATCTTAAACTTTTCCCTTTCATCATTTGCAATCTGTTTACAGCTTCACCATCCTCAGCCCTCCTTGTTCATCTTTTGTTTGTTTTAAACCTTTTCATGTTCATCTACACTACCAAAGTTTTATTTCAACTGTTTATGCTGCTTCAGGGTAAGATTTACTCCAATTAGTATAAATCTACAAAGGGTCTATCAGAAATGCTCCGTTATTCGCAATGTATTGCGCAATAAATAGGGGGTGAACCGAAGTCAGTGTTCGAACATTATGCGGTTGTAAAAAAAATGATGGAAAGATGAACTTGTCTTTAAGTTTTTAACAACTAGTAGATTTATACTAAACTAGTGTATTTGCTCACGATTCCTATAGCGTGATAGCTGATTCGGGGTCGCTTTCCTCAACTATAACGCGAAAGAAATCGAGGAAAAATTTTCTTATTGATAAAAAATTGTATCTTTTCCTCTTATAGGGGTCAGTTTGAAATACTCATCTGGAACCCTAGGTCCTGATTAGGTCTGATTTTCTGATGCATCTACATTTAGGGTATACCTAATTTTAATTGAGTAAGTAATAGATATTAAGTGATCTGTCTTTGTTTAATTTGGAATCGTTTCACAGTTCATCCTCAGTCTGGCAAGTAAAGGGATCTTCTGGAAAATGGAAGACCCTCAATCTAGAGTTGTCAACTTGGTTAGAGGATGCCTGGAGGAATAACGCAGAGGAAATCGCCTTGGAAGACAGGGAGGTGACGACTGCGTTCCAATATCTTTCAATTTATATAAAAGAGAACACTTTTGAAAATATTTAATGTGCTGTAGTCGTTGACAATAATTCTAAAAAGAGAGATTTAGCTCTGATTTCGTTATTCCTTTTTTTAATCCATAAAAACATTCCCAGAAATATTATCCCTATTTCCAAAGTGTAAATATTTTAATCTTACTTTTGTTGTTCATGGTCTGGCCCTCAGTTTTCAGAACGTCCCTCTGGAAATTAGCTGTTGACATCCTCTCATGGAATTCAAAACATTTTTCCTACGTTTTATATCTGGGTTTTTTGTTCGCTTAAACGAGTGATTCTCTCTGTTGACTCTGTACAGGTGAACTTAAACTCAATGACTATGACTCGCCCGTATAGCGGGGCCCTTCAAAGGTTGTTTGAACCTGCTTTGTGGTTAAATTACTCCCGATCAGATCACTACCACAGTTTGCACTGCAGAATGCATCGAATTCAGGTGAGGAAAGATGATGGCTTTGCCAGCTGTTTCCCGTTTTTAGGTTTTTCTTCCGTCTGATTATAAGTAAATTTTTTGAAATAAAATATTCGGCTGGATAATTTTGTTTTCCAAAAATTTCAAAGATTAAAGTGCATTTAGATATAGATTAGAACCTGTGCTTTTTTCGTCTTTTTTTCTCGACCCTGCTTCAATACTGAGGAGGGATCATTCTTTGCACCGGCGTATATGCTTTGAGACCCAGGTGCTCCAATGTTTATTTTATGCATAGGTATATTGCCACTATTCTCTAACTTATCTTCGTTGCAAAGCATTACACGCTGTTTTGCTTATTTCAGGTTGATAATCAGCAGTTCGGCACGGTTTTTCCAGTTGCTCTTTATCCATCACCGCTACCTTCTTCCATCATTCAGAGGACAGGTACGTACAGTTGCCTTGCTTGCTATTATGTAATAATGAGAGTTGTCTACCAAGTTCGCGCTCATTGCAACTGCGACCGGACATGCAATTCATTAGACAAGCCACGCGTGCTGAATAACTGGCTAAAATATAGTGCTGATGAGTGCTTCTGTTCTTCGTTTGAGGACATTTTACGGTATGCACCAGCTAAGTCTGTCAAGCAAAGTGTTAAAAAATTTCCCAATACAAGGCTTGTTGATAAAGGTGTCTCTCCTAGGTGATATTTTGATCACTCCTGTTTTCGAAGGTTTCAGAAGGATTTAGGCGTAGACAATCTCTGCTTCTCTGTACTTCGAATTGGTTATGCATTCTGCACCGAAAAATCTAATTAACGTGATAGGTTCATGTTTTATTTTCGTAAGACCAGAGAGCTTAGTTTTGAAAACAGCTTTCTATATATCTCCTCTAGAATAGGGCATATATGGAGGTACGGGTGTGTTAGCCTGATACTTTCTGTATATAGCGTATCCCTTAACGAAAATTTGCTCTTTCAGGACTGAAACCGTTCATTGAAGTGTCAGTGATTTATCATCACGTCCCTAAAGAAGGAATGCACCACATAAAGTAAGTGCATAGCAGATTTAGCTGCACACCAATGTTCAGTGTTTGGTAAGTTTGTACTCGAGTCAGTGGCACGTCCAGCCGAAACTTATCCCGGTTTCCTTATCATGAAGCAACTAGGAGTATCAATACTCCCTCTGGATGAGATGCTAGTCCATCGCAAGGTTGCCCCCCAACATTTCATCAGCCTTCCGTGACAATTCCTAGAACCTAATTTTTACTCCTTGGCGGAAAGAGGCTCTGTGAAAGCGAAGTGTTTTCCTCAAACGAACTCAGACCTCCCGTGCAGGAGTCCAGCCCACTAACTCCAGTGTTGGATCAACTTGGATAATTGCAATCTTTATTTGTATCGACAGGTACGCTAAGGCTTTGGTACAGGCTATGAATGTGAGAATTGATAAAGGATTCATTATTTCTATGGCAAGTTTTTTCAGTCAACAGAAGGAACTTCTAGAAGAGGTAAGAGGCATTGTCTGAGTTAAAGTAATGGATAGGAAAAAAAGCGAAGGAGAGGAGGAGATAAAAAAAAAAGACATTTGCAGAGTGTCTGGTTCTTTCAGTAATTTAGTTTTCTGCACTTGTGTAGAAATCAAATCTGCCTCAGGTCCCATTTCTTGTCTTCCGTCCTTCATTTGTTGATTGGTGTTTGCATTTTGTTTTCATGACAGGAAAATTATTTCGAAGAAGACATGAAACGATGTGCCGTGCCTTTGAGGGAAACCAAAGCAGTAAAAGTTTGTATCGGCTGACAATTTTCCTGTGTTAATAATGTAAACAATTTTAAAAGTCTAGTGGGTTGGTAGAACTCTTAGGGCCGGTTATTTACACGAGGTTTAACCCCTACCGCGGTCTTACACAAGCAGTGGTCCTCATGGATTTCCCATAAGATGTCCTTCCACTATGAGCTTTCGGCCCTCTTAAATCTGTTCAAAAAACAAAATGTTTAGATTAAAGGTTCAGCTAAATTGAAGATGACTTAGAACGCGGTTCTGTTAAACAATGGAAAAAATTTTTTTAAATAACATCACGAAGAACCATCGAGAACTACTTTTAAACACATGTAAAATGATTCCAGTACTTGAAAATACTACTGACCGGAAAGGGATTGGTTTAAGCTTGCGCCAGACTTGTTGGGGGGGGAGGGGGGTAGGGAATACCGGGGTAAATTTTTAACTCCAATACAACATAATACTTCAGATCAACTCAACCTGAGGTTACTTTCGACAACATATAAATTATCTCCACTACATGGCGACCATAAGTTGAAAATACATGAGTTTGTACTAATTAATTTTCCATGTAAGAAAAAAATTTGTAACCTTTATATCAATATTCTGACTGCAGGCTGCATTGGAGACGCAAAAAGTTTTCCTAGAGTACTTTCATTTATCCCCTCTCAAGGTTTGTTGGTTTGACGTTTTGTTTGTCGGAAGTTTTTGCTTGTATTCTTTTGTTATAATTACGAACTAGTATTTACAGTTAGTTGATTGGTTTTGCCCAGACCGGACAATTGTGATTAATATAGAATCATGTTTTTAAAAGGACTCGTCTAGCCAACCAGACGTTGCTAATTATAAGCAATCAAACCAAGTTAAGAATGATAGAGATGACAAAATGATGTAATCACCTTTTGTCATCTTGTTTTCTCTTTTTGGATTCGATTATCCTCTTTCCTTGTGTTTGTTGAACTTCGCAATGTGCTGCACATCAGTGAAACACTCAGCTGTTCCTTGTGTGCAACCTTTTTTTTTTGTTCTTACCACATTTTGACGTCATCTGTGAACCGACTTAAACTTGGCTACAAACCGACTCAAACTTAGTTACGAACCGACTCAACCGTGGGTACGAATCGACCGGATGCCTCTGTGATCTATAACTTCGGCAAAAAAGAATCTATGTATTAAATAATATTGTCAGTGAAGTGACTAAAATTGTTCTCTATTAGATCAACCTCAGTTTTTCACTGGCGTCTTCGTTTGATGAGGACGATGAGGATCAAGCTTTTGCTCAAGACTTGTTGGATTTCTTTGTCGACTCCATTGGGGCGACGCTCACAGATATTAATGATGCCACACTTAAGTAAGACAACCGTTTTAATGCTTAACTAAAATCAGACACTTGTGTCTAAAATCGGAAGTGTATTAAATCGGACGCTAATAATTAGACACTACTGTCTAAAATCAGACTTGTAAGCAAAATCGGACACTACAGGCATAGAAATAGCATACTAGTGTCCAAAATACGACGCCATTGTCTAAAATCGGACACTAATGTCCAAAATCTTTCACTTCACGTCAAAATTCCCAAAAACCAGCTTATGATAGCAATGGTGTGTGGTGCTGTTTACTTTGTGAATTTAATTTAGCATTATCTGTCCTTAGTGAAGACGGGTCTTTGTTGGAATTCTGTGTTTCCAGTTTTCGAGCCTTAATTGTGGACATTTATTCAAATCAAGTATTATTCTTTTACAAATAAAAAAGCATTTTTGTGGATGACTCCTATATTTGGAATTGTGGGAGGTTGTCATATATAAAATTTTGCTTTGTTTATTCTTTCGTTGCACATATTCATTTGATCAATTTTTTCCCAGAATGGCTTATTTCGAGCGAGTCAGTGCATTTTTGACTCAAGAGAATCTTGTTGCTCAGATCACGCGGCATTACACAATGCAGGTAAATATTTAGCGCAACGTATTTCTTAGTGTGTATCGTTGTATCTACATTTTTGTTTGCTCATTCGAAAAGGTTTTAATTTTTTCAGTCCTTTTTTTCAAGAAGGGGTCTCAAGAAAGGGGGAATCCCAAAAGGTGTTTGAACGTATTCGTAGATTTAAGACGGTGGAGAAACGAAGAAGAGGAGGGCAGTTGACGCTTTAAGAGGCTATATAGTAGCTCTGATATCAATCTTGTCACTCCCGTTTTCGAGCATGTAATTCGGAAAGAAAAAAATATGTTTATCCTTGAGTGCAATATTTTGTGCCCCATTCGACACTTAGTGGTAAGCTTTAGGGGGAATTTTTTTTCAAATCGCGGAAATCCCGTCAAGCCGCGCTCTAGAATAAACCCTGTTCTATTCATCTTGCAGGGTGTGCGTCAAGTTTATGTTCTTGTACTGGGCCTTGATGTGCTTGGCAACCCGTACGCACTGATTACAGGGATTGGCAAAGGAGTTAAGGACTTGTTTTATGAGCCCTATCAGGTTAGTTGGGATTTTTTGTTCGTCAAAGAAAGGACAAAAATAGTGGACGAAATTCTGACATGGTATTTTTTCTATTTTGTTAGGGTATCATTGCAGGGCCAGGAGAGTTTGCTGAAGGTGTGGCTCGTGGTGTTAGGAGCTTGCTGGGTCATGTGATAGGTAACTTAAGCGAAGTTGCAATCAATAACGTAACATACCCAGTTTCTTTAAATTTTGTGTTAGAGTGGCATTCTTAAATTTTTCGTTGAGTGACGTACTTTCCTAGTTGACTCGAAGGATTGCATAAGGTCTTTTTTTAATTACATATTAGGCAAAATCGGCAAAATGTGGTTATATGCAGAACAGAACTCGTCAGACATGCCGTCTTTAGTTTCTACACGGACCTTTTTCCTTTGTGGCGGTATTTAACCCTAGGGCACACTCGATATCTTTTTTTATTTTTGTTTTTGTTTTGTTTTGTTTTTGGTGCAAACTCTCTTGCGTTCAGATTAATACAAGGTAACTGCAGGCCAGGCCTCTTGGAACAATGAAAGCAAAGATAAAAATGAATGTTCCTTTATGTTGTTATCAACACGTCGATATAAATATTTTTTTACGCAGGTGGAACCGCAGGGGCGTTTTCGCGCATAACGGGGTCATTGGGTCAGGCTGTGGCCACGCTCACGTTCGACTCAAATTTCCAGATGGTGAGTAGCTCAGCCCACGTTTTACATCTGCTTCGAGCAGAGAGGGAAGCAAGCAGACAATTCTATTGGCGTTGAGTTATGTACATAAGTGAGCTTTTCGCTATTGGCTATCGCGCATCGTAGAACGAATTGCGAAGCTGTCATTCAAGAACGTGTTTTTTTCTTCTAGCGACGACGTCTGCGCATGCACAGTCAACCTCAAGGTGTTGGTCAAGGACTGTTGATGGGAGGAAAAAGTCTGTTGATGGTGAGTTGAATTTGCGGATTTTTTAACCATTTAACTCCCATGAGTGACCAAGAAAGAATTTCTTCCTACAATATCCATACAATTTCAAGCAGGCAAGTGATGAGAATAAGGAGAAATTTCAATTAGGGGACTAAACGTTAATCTAGTACCAAATTCTCCAAACTAACAGCACAAGAACTGTATGGCAGACAGTAAGGAGAATTACTAATGAGATCTTGGGAGTTAAAGGAGAGAATCGAAAAATCAAATTATGGTCGTTATTATTAATCGGGTTTTTTCGTTACTGCTAAGCTGCCAGGGAATTCTGACGAAACTGATGCTGGGGGAGAATAGTGAGGACCTTCTCTTTATCATCTTGAAGTAGAACAACAGGAATAAGATCTGACAGACATGCAAGTCAATCTCAAATGCAGACTTAAAGACAAACAAAAGGACATTAAAATCCAGAAGGTGGTCACAATGACTTGTCAGACGGACTGACTCTTTCAATTTGATTCCTCCTCAGGGTCTTTTCTTTGGACTGTCCGGTGTAGTTGTAAAACCCGTAAAGGGTAAGATTCTCCTCTATTTTTTCCATGTTTAAGTGAATTGTTAAATGCGGGGTACTGTGACTGTTTCGCTGGTTACAATGAGGCTTCCTCGCAGAAATAAATTATTCGTTGAATAATGTATTCATTGAATACGTCCTAGTATTTAACGTCCGGGATGTCAGTTGAAAAAAATTTATTTCGAGTTCGTTGACGCCCCCTTGTTTGACTTATCATTAGACTGCAATTAGCATAAAAACACTCTTCTCTCTACAACAATTTAAAAAATATGTACTGTGACTTCAGAACCACCTTCAATTTTAATAATTGATTGATGTTTTTTTTAATGAAGATTTGGTGTTGATTATCTCTATGTGAAATGTTTGGATTTGGTTATTCAAACGCCCACGAAGCACAAACTTTTCCTTCCGAAAGAAAAATAGAGCTATTTTTCCTTTTGATGAATTTATTTTGTTTAGGTGCCCGTTCCGAGGGTGTGGAAGGATTTTTCAAGGGAATTGGGAAAGGCCTCCTTGGATTGCTTACACATCCAACAGGAGGAGTTATTGACATGGTCAGCTTTACTCTTGATGGAGTGAGAAGGTTATCTCTCTTCTGCTGTAAATCCTCGTGTTGCTCATTCACAATTTTTTGCAGGTTTAACCTAAACGCATACACAATACCTGAGTTGAGTGTTGTGAAATTTTAGTGCCTAACGGTACTAATTGAAAACAACTTTACTAGAAACCACAAGCTGCTGAGGCTGCACGGAATGGTTAATTGTCCAGACTTTCTGTAACTCAAACTTACAAATTTTACGTGTCCATGATAACGGTATACTTCAATACGTCAAACGAGCATCGTCAAGGTTTCTAGACAATAACATACGAGTCCGCTTTAGGTCATAAATTGCAAACGCTACTCAAGAATCACAATCATTGGGTTTCATCTTCTGATATCCTGCAGATCAGCGGAACAGAACGGCGAAGATATCGCCTGCAGGATGAGAATTCCCCGTTTCACAGCCCCCAATATGGTAAATACAGCAACAGAATGTGAACTATAAAGTAATTTTGTCAGATAGAAAAAATCTTCTTTCTGCACAAAGAAAGATTTAATTAGGTTGCTTTTATTGAAACAACAAAAAAACACCCCACACACACACACACACACACACACGCACACGCACACGCACACGCACACGCACACGCACACGCACACGCACACACACGCACACGCGCACGCGCACACGCACACACACACGCACACACACGCACACGCACACGCACACACACACACTATACAAGACAAGTTGATTCTTTAAGAAAATATCCATGAAAGAACGAGTGAAAAAAAGTTCAAGTCTCTGTTAATTTCACGTTAAAAGGCTTTTAGTTCACAAAAACCTTGAAAGAAAAAGATGACAAAACCACAATAAAAACCGACCTAACCTTGCAATCAGTGTATTTTCATTTGAATCGATCACGTTATCCCACTTTCAAACCCACTGAAGATAAATTTTCACCTCGAAATTTTTTAACCTGTACTTTTATTATTTTCCACAAGCCTTTAAAGCCTTTCTCAGAGCACGACGCCAAAGGAAATGGAATCTTGCAGGTAACGATGATTACATTAAAACTAGGATTAACCTTTTAACGGTGTTTTAACTAGCACTTTACATCAGTTCGTTCTGGTCGTGTCGTCTACAATTGAATACCTTTTAAGGCCCCGGTATTCACCTGTGTTCATGCCATGACAATTTCTATTTTTTAAGCTTGGTGAATATTATCGAATAATTATCAAACGACCTTGGTGAAAAGTCGCTTTGAAGTGTGCACAGTTTCGACAGCAACAGAACACATAAGATGCTTGTCGTAGAGCTCTGCGAGCTAGACTTAACGCCGAGTTCCCAAAAGTTTGGTGTTTTATCCATGTTGGATTTGATAGTCATTTGTTTCTCCATTCCAGGGTTTAGATAAATTTGACGGCGATGTTTATATAGACCATATGAGCATTACAGATGAGGACGATAGTATTGTGGTCCTCTTGACAGACAGGTGAGTTGTTTACTCGGACCTGATCCCCTGTGTGCATGCGTGCTCATAACTTTGATGCCATACAGAGATGGTTGTTCCAAGTAACTCATCCGCTGCCGTGAAAATTTGTTCTGAATTCTAAATACTTGTTTTAACCTGGTGAAATATTAAGTAAACTAACTCAAAAGGGAGAGGTTGCAGAACTGTTGTTATTTAGCTGTAAATAAATCAAATGTCTGCTCTTGTTATTTTTAGGAGGATATTGAATTTGCATCAAAGGAAGTTTTGGCATAGTTGGGAAGTGAGATGGAGTTGTTTATACGAGGACGTTGTTGGTTTCCCTTTGCTTACTGAAAACGCATTAGTTATCAAAGAACAGTCTTCTAAGGTACAGTTTCTTAGAAGTTTAAACTGTTTTTGCTTCTTTCTCTCACGGATCGGCTCAGCTCGAAGAATTCATTGAAGATTACTTTCACCGTATTGATTTCGATATATCTTTTTGAGAATTTTGAGTTACGAGGTTTTCATGAAAAGAACTGTTGTCTTGAAGATTCTTAATGAGCAGGACGCTGCAAAAAAGGTCCTTTGACCTCTCAAATCCCGTACAGGCCTAAACTTTCCTTTTTCAGGCCTTCTTTTCACTGCTGCTCAAGTAGTGTTCATAACTGCGAGGATCGCTTTTATATTCACGTCTTTATCCGCAGTTCAAATATATGACTTTCATATACTAACATTCGTTTAGTCAGCATTTCCTCGCAATTTTAATACATTGTTAAGCTAGTAGCTAAAGGAACAAACAAGCTTGTCGGCGAGAGGTTTTATTCTTACTATTACACATTTCGTATCTAGTTTACAAGGGAAAGTATAGCAGCCTGAAGGGAAAATTAAAGAAATAACGATCTTTCAGCCCGAATAACTTTATTTCAGTGGACTCTTCCTTTATTTGAGAGGAACTGATTAAATTACGCCTTTTTGTTTGTATTTTTTGTTTTGTTTCTGCAGATATATTAAGTTATTTTTAGTGTCTGTCTGGCTCAGGCTCTCGCTTTGCTTTCTTTTTGCGTTGTTACATTTTGTTTTAATTTTATTTTGATGTCTTGTTTATTTTAGTTAATTGATATTACTGTGGTTGTTAAAAAGTCATTATTATGACAGTAATTTTTTGTCTCAACTTTACCGGCAGGATCATTCAACTAGTCTTCCCTCACTTCCTACTCACGACATTGTGTCTTCAAACAGGATGGAACTAGAGGTCAGTCGAGCTCTAAATAACTTCCATGTACAGATATTGAGGGCAGACTCTTATTGTTATAGTATATATCTATTCATCATTCAAAATTTAACAGCAATAAAGGTTTCTGTTTTTATTGGAGGATCTCAATGGGTTGATGGCTTCTACGGCTAACGGTTAAAATTGTGGCCATTTTACAGCTAACGGTTAACCAAGAATGACACAAAATGACGCAATTTAGAAAGAAACAAAATTAGAAGGTTACCTTTTTAACGACTAACGGTTAAAACTTGTCAATTTTTACACCTAACGGCTTTTTTTTTGGCAGTTTTTCGGCTGACGTTTAACCCCATTGAGACCCTCTTAATGAATGATACGTCATACAAGAAGGTCACGTTTGTGAGGATAGTTAGGCTGGTTACTTTGTTCTTTTATTTTTGCCTGTTTTGTTATCATTATTATCATCGTCAACGTCATCATCATCCTTACCAGTGTTACTATGTTTATTATTATTATTATTATTATCGTTATTATTATTATTACCTTTGGAGACATGCACTGTTTAACCGAAATTGTCCTTCTACTCATACAGACTCTTAAAACCAAGATTGACAGCAACATTCGTCACTTTCGATGAAAATTTGAATCGTAACCATTTCAAGTCAAGAGTGGTGGCTAGACTTGCAGATGACACAGTCTGCGTGAGCAGCAACCGTGTTCAAGAAAATTCCATACTCTGACCCCACCAACATGAGAACTGAATTCAATGAAAAAGTTTTATCTAGAATGAGTCGGTTAGTCATCTGATGCAGAAGTAATCTAGTTATGTCATTGTTGTATTTACGTGAAACCGATGGGTAGTTTCTTTCTCAAATTTTGCTATAGTCTTGATTAATTGGTAACAGTACTTCGTGTCGTCCGATTCGGTCTGTAATCATACCCGTGATTAACAATTAATCACTTGTATGATTACAGACCGAATTGGACTCCACGGTCCTATTACCACGAAAGGTAATCATTACATGGGTTGTATTCGTGCAGTTTCAATGCTGATTAATTTATGACACGACGACCATTTAGATTTAAGATAGGAACAATTATTTCAAAAATGAACTACATGAGATGATTGAGTTCAGTAGGTCGGTACAGACAAGAAGACAAGCCATACGTGTAAGCCGCAGCGTCAGTTCACCTCGTGTGAACTGAATGTTTGTGAAAAGTTTTGCGACAAAATTTGTCCAGGAAATTCACGTGCGTTTCCTCGATTTTTTTGGGAAGTAACTCACACGGAGGGGTTTGTGGCAAAACCTTGACTCAGTGATATTTTGCTTTGTGTGTACCGACCATAATATTCATGTCTTAGACACAGTAGACATATAAATAATAAGTATTGTATCAATTATTTATGATTGAGAATTGAAGAAATGAAAAAAGAAATTAACCAACTTAGTTACTTGAAGTTATAACTGAGAGAAGGTTATTTTTTTGGAACATGAAAGATTTTTAAAGTTATCTTGTATATATGATTGATCATTGTCTCTTGAAAAGAGTCTGATTTTCCAGTATTCTACTATTTTGTTGGTTATTGTTTTGTTGTTTTTTTTGCATAAATTGATAACAATACTATATTTCTCGTATGAGCATAAGAATTACGATGTTTTGTTTTGTAATTTAATTTTGAAGTATTATACCTGCTCTCAAATGTCGGCATAAGATTTAATGCTTTTTTTTTCATTTAAGAAACCTGGCGAGGTCGCTCAGTGTTAGCCAGAAGTGACTCGTAAAATTTGTCAGAGAGCGAAATCTGCTACTGCTTATAACTGTCCGGTTTATAGGTTCCTACGATCGGAATCTCATTTTTATCAAATAACAAAGTCATCTTGTTTTTCCCCTAAAGATGTATGATTATTTGAGTTAATTTTCTTTTCGATGCTATTTAAGCAGTTAAACTATATTTCTAAATACATTAAATACTGATTCTTATTTGGTGTTTCGGTGCAGATACTCGCATCCTTTGTAACTGTGAAAGAAAATGGCGGTTATTGGAAAAAACCGCGAAATAAAGCGGCAGCCATGCCCTAAATGTGTCCATCCAAAAGCAGTTAGCTGTTCATTGTTTTAAAAATCGAGTGTTGAATGAACGCAGAACCCGTCCACTTGAATAAGTGGGGTTGCAATCACTTGCTTCAAATGTTGAAATACAGGTGAATTATTAGTGTTATTGGTGCTTAATATATCGAACTGTTTTCCCGTGTAAACTGCACTTGTAACTGTTTGTGTCACAAAAAAGAGTAATTATGTTCGGCCGAGCAGTTCCCTTCCTAAACCTACTCGAATGCAAAATTTACCATCATCATTTTGATTGTTTAAAAACGAAAATAAAAAGAAAACGCGTTCCTCGGCTGTGATATTTGCATCGAAAGTCGATAATTTGAAAGTAACTTGAGAGCTGGCTTGAGTTTTTTCCTCTTGCTTGGCTTTTACAGAATTGCCGGAAGTTCTTCAAATTTGGATAAGTTCCTGAGGACATGCTTCGGTCCTCCTTCATATCCTAGGTAACAGGAGATAATTATTTGAATATAGCCAAGGTGCAGCGTGGAGACATCGAGGAGAGAAAGCCCAGCTGTGAAACTAGAAACGCTGAATGATTAAATTAAATTAGAGAATTCAATACCTGACTACGGGCACTCACAAAAAAAATAATTGAAAAGGAAAGAGGAAAGGCCAAGAGTTACTTGTCGTCTCACTTGTTTCACAGTCTTCCAGCAACAATCATTTTATTTTTAAGATGTTAGTCGGTGCGAATAAATTTGATGAACATCATTTGGCGAAGCTTCCGGGAAAATAACGCGAAGTGCTAATAATACTTTGACTTTTAATTATTGCGTGGTTGCCCTTAGCCATAGAGAATAATTTTTTTTTAATTTCAGTTTGCGATGTTCAGCTCCTCTAACTTTTTACCACTGCTAGTATTGTGAGAAAGCGCAATTAAGTTTAGAGGTCTGTGCTTTCTTCCACGTCAAGGAAAAGAAGCGAGTCAGTTCGGTATGAACCCTGTGAATTTATTTTGTAAGACTGCGAAGATTGTGATCCCTTAGAAGACGACAGCTGACAAAAGAGTGAAAACAAATGATGAATTTTTTATGGCATAAAAAAAATAAAAACCATAGATTTGGCTACAGAATACGTTCCTTGATAATTTGATGGTAGATTAGTGTACTTATTGTCTGCCAAAGTTTAATCAGTGTTTTTGTCATTCTTTCACCAGCCTTCATGTCCCCATCTTTTCTTCCGCACCTGACATGCTAATCAAAACTTAATGTAAATTTCGGCATTTCGTGCAATCCATAGAGCTGATGTGACTCCAAAAAAAAAAAAACTAAATCGGAGTATCTAAAGATCGTTCAGGTTATAATAACCCCTACAACTGGATAATATTCTTGAAATCTATAAAATTACGATCGAAGAATGATATTTAGAAGAATTTTGAATTGAATTTCAAACCGGAAATGTTATTGAAAATGTTATAGAAATTGAAATCTTCACAGGGTGAAGGTGTAATATGAGGGAAGTCGTCAAACACATTTGGAATTTAACAAGGAAAACATATATCGGAAATGCAAACAAAGGCGCCTTCCTTTTTAGAATGGTTACTTGTAAATAATTAAAACTAATATTAAAACGATGGATGTGGTCAAGCGAGAGTTACCTACTCATTTGCATGTACTTTTCGTTATAAAGACGCCCATTTCATGCTTGCTTCACTTAATTGTCGAAGAATTTGTCTCATTAGCTGAGTTTGCGAGACGTTTGAAAGAGTGATGATCTATCCGCACACATAAACCGCGAGATTAAAAGATGTCAGCAGATTAGGTAGAGGAACACTGGCAGCTGTTAATCGTAAGTAAAGTCAATAGACTGAATTTTAAAATTTTACTTTCCTTACAGTCATGTTTATCTGTCGACAACTTTTTAAAATTTTTGTTTTCTCCCTTCGCAAGCTGCTCACCGATTATTTCCAAACTGCTAACGCACCAAAGGTTAGCCTTCAGCAACATTTACAACAATCTCAGTTACTAAGAAAACGTTTTCGGTCTTACGGTTCTATACTTAAACATGTTGAATTCTAAATGTAATACATAACGACTTGCAGCCATTTTTTCTTTTTGAAGAAAGCAAGAACAACCGCGAACGCAATTCGCGGTCAAAAACCAGATTCATTTTCGGTGGACATCTTATTAAAACGTTCTTGTCGAGCGAGTATCAAGGCCTCCACTTAGCTTACAAGTGAAACTTTACATTGCATAATTCTCTGAAGATCAGAAGTTCTTACTTAGCTTTATTTGATCTTAGCTAAAAAATTGATGCCTTCAGGTAATAGCCTCCGTAAGGACGGTTTCATTTAAACTTAGAAGGACGATTTTTCTGTGAGCCGCACACTGTTAAGTCAAAATACGGTTTTCCCGTCAGCTGTAATAACCTAGTGCCCGTCAAAAAAACTAACAGTGTGGCTACAGGGGCTGTAAAATAAGGTACAAAGAATAGATGTGAGAGGCGCCGGTGTAATATTTGACCCTAAAGCGATTTAACACAACATCATTCGCACAATAAATATTGGAATTAGTCTTTGTTTTCCTTGAGGCAAGAGTAACCCGCGCCCAATTGAATAAATTAAAACAGACATCTCCTTTGTCTGACGTTTGATTTTCTTGCTTTTTGCGTCAAGTATGTGTATTGCTGCAATGTTCTATTTATGGCTGCAATGTTTTATGAATATGGCTCGAACAATTCAAATAACAGGAACACGATCGCATTTCGCGCCAAGGATTTTGACCATGTTGTTAGTTATTCTAGTTTTTCAGTTGAAATTTTAGGTTATGACTGCCGGCAAAAACAAGGAAGTGACTAAGCTTATAAATGCAGATGACATAAACACAACAGTTTTCTTTGAGAGCGTAGAAGGACATACCAATTATAATTGAAATATTTGGGAGAATGAAAGGGAACAACAAAATCCACCAACATTTCTATCTCATTTAGTGACCTTAAATCATGAATCCCAGTGACCGAAAGGCATGGTTTTTAAAAGACTCTGCCTGTCAGCCAGTCTGTTTTTTTTTTCTTCTGGTATTTTGAATCCTTTAGTCTTTAGAAGAAAACGAAGCGGTAGGAACCCCGGAATTTTCATTGTCTTTTTGTTTTTTGCAAAGTCAGCGTGACCTCTGCAATACTGGATATCCAGGTTATTCTTGCGGCTTTTTTAAATGTGTCCTCATTCTTATTGTTGATATTTCTCCCAATTATTTTCGGATAAAGCTTCTGTGTTGACGGCGTCGGCGTTACTCATAAATGCACATGTTAAATCATCGTGAAGGAAAAGCCTCAACGCGAAAAATGTCATGGATCATGTATCAAAGAAGGCCGGTTGAATTTGACACACTTTCATTTAAGAGCTTTTCGGAATTGTACATCTTATCATTTGCAAAGTATAAACCATTTACATACTATTGAGTCCTCACCAAGAAAAAAATTTAAAATGAGGTTGGTCAAACAGAAAAAATAGACTGGCGAGACAGTGAATTGAAAATTTCAAACTAATTTGTTAAGATTTTAAGCAGATCGTTCTCCAAAATTGAAAAAGAGAGGGAACTATATATTTCATGGCGTCGTCTTCGTCGAGGAAAAGACGATGTTTAATACCAGATAGTACATAAAAACCATGAGCCGCACAGATGTTGATATGTTTTTCAAAAACATTTTAAGGCAATTATTCATAAACTGATCGTTATTTTGGTGCTGGGAAACATTTTCCGTTTTGTTTAGTATGCAGTACTTTCCATTTTCATCTGCCCTCTTGAAGAGGGATCCATTACGAAAGCTTTTTACAAAGAGTGATAATTGAAGTGGACTGGGCTGAAAAGGAAAAAAAACGAAGTTTTAAGTCGTTTTAGATTATGACACTGCTATTTCTTAGTTTTTCATTTGCTGAATCAACGATGGATTTTGGTCAATTTTCGCTTTTAAAAGTTGTTTCTTTAATCCTTGTGTATGATTGCTAATGGGTCCTGTTCCTGCTTCACATTTGTCACGCAATTGTGTTCCCTTTTGTGTCCATTCAGTTCCAGTTTTCTCATAGTAATTGGAAATTAAAAGGGAACTTGGCAAAGTCCTCGAAATTCTACAGAAGACGAGGTTCGGATCTGCCATCATTCATTTAGTCATTATGAAGTTTGCATATGGATTGACACGTCTCGAAAAAGAAATATGTAATTGGAGAGCTTTTTTTCCGCTGCTCTACTTTTGACAAAAAAAGTGGTCAAATTTTGTATTCTCCTTGGTGAAAGCAGTTTTTTTTAGTCATATTTGTAGCCGGCTTGCAATATCTTTACTCAGGGAAGTTTCCTGAAATTTCATGCTGTTCAAAACTGACAAAAACGTGACAGATAATTTTCACTATATAAATAAAGCATCGATTTGTCGTTCACCCTTTTCAAAATTATCATATTCTATCAAACTTTGATTCTGTGCAGGTTATCCTTGTAACAGTTTGGGAAAGATCCGTTACTGAGTCCTCACAGAAGCTTTACAACGTGGCGTCAAATGAGTAAGGTAAAGTTTTGACGAATGTTACGAGGAACCTTGTAACAAACATCCAGAGATGGTATCAAAATTTAACATACCTTATGTTTTCAATTTTTTTTTGTCGTGCCGCTACTGCCGCCCGTAATTTCAATTTACTGAAGACAGACACTTGGTGAACAGAGCATATATTTCTCCAACGGGCAAAATAGCTCGCAATAGATGTACGACCAGTAAATGAACCAAAAACATTACTTTAGGAGGTTTGTCGTTTAGGAATCGTAAAGCGAGGGCAATTGTGATAAAGCAGCAAAACCAAAAAAGCTCATGAGGATCAAATTGCCGGAAGAACGATAGATGTTTGTTAAAAAAAAAAAAAAAAAAAACTCTTCGCAGACGACCGCGGTAAAATAGCATATATTCCGAAATGATATTTTTGCTACAGTATGCTTTGCCGCACAGTACTTTTTGGTAAATCACAATTATTCATGATGTGTCTCCAAAACAACTTCCTTTGCAACTTAATATTCAAGGAAATTATGTTTTTATTTCTGTAATTCTGGACTAAAGCGTATTCCTTGTGTGACCTCACTAAATAAACGAAATGACCTTGGTCTCCAGATGGTTGACAGAAATGACCATCACCTAGCACAAAAACACATTTTACTCCCTAATCAACCATCCTGCTTTAAATTTAAAATGAAAGCTGTAATACAAAATACGTTTTACCATAATCACGTGGTGTTCTATTCACGTAAAGCTGATCAACAAATCAATAAAATTGTACAGTCCAAACACCTCTTGTTCGGAAGAGTCCAAATTTGACTTAACAAATCCATAAACAGATTTTACTCTCCGACAAGGCAATGTTTCCATGAAATATCATGCACAAGTCTCAAACCTGATTGCATTTCCTGGTGAACTTTTGCGAAACCCTGGCTGCTGCACGACGTATATAATATTTGGTCTTCGTTGCCAAGTATAGAAAATTATGATAATCGATCTAAAGCAAAGTATGGTGTGCGCCATCCAGGAGTAGCAGAAATTTAAAACATTTTTCAAAATCCTCCGACCTTACAGCTTACGTTTTTATGCTCCCTTTGGACATAAACCTGCTTTTATCAGCATGAGCACGTTTTTTATTGTGCACGTGATTGAAACTACATCAAATAAATATAAAGGCTGCTTACTAGAATGATAACGCACAATGATAAAAATACACAGAGAAATACTAGAATATATTATTCAAATAAGGATATCTTTCTTCGATTCCATGGAAACGTGGCTCTCATCCAATCAATACGATCCCAACCCATCTGTTTCCTGAATGGACAATGCGCCAAATTAACAATTTTAGTAATATATATTGATGTAACTAAAAATCATTTGAATTAATATTAAATGTTGACATCGATATTTGAAATGAATTTTCGGTTGGTGGAAGGAAAGCGTGCTTGCCTTTGCATCTTTGATAAAGTGAATACAGATTATTATATAACGGAGAAGAAATTACCCTCAAGTAGAAGACATGAAGGAGACTTAATTGAATGGCACTGCAGGGAGGTCCGTTGCAGGCGATGTTCGTATCAATTTAAAGTGTAATTTGAACGCTCTGGATCTACTATTAATTGTTACACACGCCGTTTGTCATAAACAGTGAATGCTGTGAATGTGTCTGGGGAAAATGCAAATAGATAAAAAAAATTACTAAGTTGCCGAAAACATCATCAAAACATATGGGCCCTCCTCAAAGACGTTTCATTTTGTGTAGAAGGCATCACAAAGGCTGAGTTTGTAAAATTGTAAATATGTTTTAAATACACGGTGTATGTAGGATAATGATGCATTTGAGGTATGATATATATATATATAGGAAGTCTGTGTATTGATTTTTCTGTTTTACAGTGCTCGATACGTAGGAGCAGAGCGCGATATATACTGCGATAGAGAAGAAAAACAGAGAGACTATACCTTCATCCCTACAAGCCTGTTTCGTGATTACTCACTCATCACGTCTCCTCAAAGACGTTTCATTTTGTGTAGAAGGCATCACGAAGGCTGAGTTCGTAAAATTGTAAAAGTGTTTTACATACACGGTGTGTCAGGATAATGATGCGTTTGAGGTATGATGTATATATATATATATATATATGTATATGTATATAAATAGGAAGTCTGTGTATTGATTTTTCCGTTTTACAGTGCTCGATACGTAGGAGTAGAGCGTGATATATATTGCGAAAGAGGAGAAAAACAGAGAGACTATACTTTCATCTTTACAAGCCTGTTTCGTGATTACTCACTCATCAGGACGATGAGTGAGTAATCACGAAACAGGCTTGTAGGGATGAAGGTATAGTCTCTCTGTTTTTTCCCCTATCGCAATATATATATATATATATATATACATACTTTTTTTTTACTCCATTGCTAACACCACTTGAAATAAAATGCATTACCTTTTTTAGCAATCAATTTCTGTAAAGCTAAAATCTTCACTGAGACGATTTTTCATCTATTCTTTATTTTTGATTTGACTTAGTTCCGAATAGGCTTAACACTTTTTAAAAATTGTTTTTCTTTTAGGTGTATCATCATGATTTTATGGGTGCTTTTTCATATCTTCCTCTTGTTCTTAACTCCTGCACAAACAAAATCTGTCAAGTCACCATTGTATGTTGGGTCTATGGCTCCTTTAACTGGTAGGCGCGCTTGGTGGGGCGCTGGAATCACAGCTGCAATGCAAATGGCTTTTGAGTACATTAACAACGACTCCAGTATTTTACCTGGGTATGAGTTGAAATTGATGGCGAATGACACGATGGTAAGGTTTATAATTCTTTATCAGAAAACGTTACCCTAACACTCCATCATTTACACGTTAGAAACTTCAGGTTAACACTTTCACAATATAGTTTTTATGATTCACACCTTGTATTCCACCTTATAATTAACAAATTTTCAGAAAACTTATGCAAAAGCATGATTTTAAGCGCTGTTATACGAGCGTAACAAAACCGAGGTTGAATATCACGTTCTCGCGGCGTTATCCGCTAATGCGAAAATGCTTTCGGACATCGTGTTCACATACTCTTGGTATCGAGGAAAATGGTCAGGAAAACAGGAAGTTCATTGGCATGTTAATCAAAGTTGAATATCGCATTTTAGCCGACTCGTGACAACACATAGAAAACACCGAGTTACAACACACCAGAAAATCGGAGGAAAACATTTAGGAAAACTCGAAAATCATTTTGTACCACATAAGCCGCTTCAGGAAAACACTTAACTAACACCGCGACAACCCAAGCTGGATAATCAATGTAAAACTGTTAGGAAAAACAGAGTATACAAATGAGTTTTCCAAGCCCCGAAATACATGCTGCGGACGCCATTTTTTTCTCGTGTTTTTCCATGGTGAATGCGAATATGCCGTGCATTCTCCGTAAAAGGAAAACGTAACTTGAACTAGACATTTCCCGGCATTCACCGTTTGGTAAAACTGTGGGCCAGCGAGGGATTGTTTTGCCGTGATTTGTATTTAAAGATCCCAGCAAGAGAATGTGACAATCAAACTTATGTCATAGAAAATCGTTCCTTGGGTGTTATGTGTTTCCAGTGAACAATTTATGAGGGAAGTAAATTTTCAATTTAAATTCATAGGGATAATTTGACAAAGCAGAGTAGTCGGCCGAGTCTGTAACCTTCCACACTTAGAAATCAGTTAAGATCCCAGACAATAATCTATTTCTTAATCATAAAATTTCCTCGATTTTGATTGTTTTAAAAAACTGATATTTTCCACTTTTTCACTTGTCAAGTTGTTATCGGACTGTTTGTTATCGGATAGTTCAATGAGCCAATCGCATTCAGGGTTGAAGTTTAAATCAACCAATCACATTTTGATGATAGTCAACTTCAGAGCGACATTAAACTATTTACGCCTCCTTTGTCAGTCTTTTAATGCAAATTTTCCCTTTCTCTCATAACTTGGCTGTTCTTCTTTTATCGGAAATTATAATTTTGATGATTAATTGGTTATAGGACTTCGTGTCGTCCAATGTAAACACTCTCGTGATATACAAATTGGACTCCCGCTGCGCGGTCGCCCGATTTTGTTATCACTCGTATGATTACAGACCAAATTGGACTCCACTTAGTCATATTACCACAACCAATTAACATTTTTATCTCAGTGTCGTTTTGCTTTACTCAGATCATGTTTTAACTCGAAATTCCACTTTATTATCGGCCAAGGTTCGATTATATAACACACTTTGATCCCATTAGTACAAGTCGTTGCTTTATGTTTTCTGCTTGATCATCAATCCTTTTGTTTGTTCAAAATCTGATTTTGAAGCTGTCGTGGGTGAGTGATAAAGCGAGGACATTCGCTACAATTATCAAAGTATGACTTTTTGGGAGCTAGAAATAAGCTTTCCCTTAAACCATATTTAATGCGCATATGATAGGAAATTGTTACAGAGATCAAATGACCATCATTTTAATCTCAGTTTGATCTCACAGCTTCGTATCAGCCGTCATCGTGTAAACACTTTCCGTGTACATTTTTTGTAAGGCTCTTTAGGGAACAAAAGTGCTGTTTTAAATAAAAAGATTAGCCACGCTTAAGGGAACAAAAAGCGCTCGTAGCTCAATAATTGTTTTTCACCGTTCATAGATTCATTTCATGACATGTCTTAAGTACCTCAGTCTTTTTTTGGTTGCATATAGGGAGAAACCGGCTTGGGCAACAAAATCCTTTATGGTTACATCAAAGCAGGCAGGCCGTCAATTGTCTTAGGACCTGGCAGATCCAACGTGGCATTGTCCGTGGCAGACACTGCAAAGTATTGGAAAATGATTCAGGTATTTCTTATGATCGATATTTTTAACAAAACACTTTATTATCACCGTGCCTCTTTCCACCCAAGAGTATAAATGGGCGCTGGAGAATAGTCAGGGAGCCTGATAAAATACTAGGAGGAAGGGGGGGGGGGGAGTAACCTTGCAATGGATTGGCATCCCATCCAAGGTGGGAGTTGTGATACTGCTAGTCGCTCCATAATAAGGGACAGTTGGATGGATGGAATTGGATGTGACACTTGGCTCGAGCACGGACTTAACGTTACATATCTATGCAACAGGTGTATACAACTCATTTCAAGAGATATTAACGTAGAGAGGAAATTTCCCTCCCTTAGTTCAAGGTATTCTAGAGAATAAAAGATCTAAATAGCTTAGGTATTCATAACTCAGCTTTTGGAGTTCTGTTTCATTTAGATTTCAGCTTCAGCTGAGAGTGGAGACCTTTCCGACCCTGTGACGTATCCTTACTTTTTCCGCACAATTCCCTCTATATCCTCATCCAAATCCACTTTTGTGGCTCTTGCAAAGGCATTTAATTGGAAGCGAGTATCGATCCTGTTTTACAGCAGAGACATGTATATTAAGGTGAGATAGACTGAGGAGTGGCATTTTATACTTAGTAATACTAGTTCAGAATAATCAAAGGCTACCCTCCCAGCAGCCTAACAATCAATCCCATCTACTGCAATTTAGGAGGCCATCTTTCTTAAAACCATAACTTCATAAAAACATTTTTTTTTCGGTCATCTCCTAGGCTGCCACCAATCTTAAGAAGGAATGCGAAAGAAACAACATTACTGTCTTGTCATACGGGAGCTTCGGGGACACCAATGATGCCGAGAACCAATTGAAGCACATCAAGGTACAGGGGCGACAAAGATTTCCCTCTACAAGTTTCACTTTTCATGGACAAATTGTGCATTTTATTGTAGATAGTCAAGTGCACCTGGCTATGAATTACCACAGAATTCTTTCTTATGTGTCCTTTTTTTAGTTCTTTGGCGAATTATACATACGCACAACGTCCGATAGGATAAATTATTTAGTCACCTCGTGTAACCACGAAAGAAAAAAGATTGGTTGTGCCCGGCTGGAGAGCTCTTCTTCGCTAGACCACTGTAAATAAAAAGTTGTTCATGGAACCACAACCCTGACTTTCTTTAATTTCTCCGTGTTAGAAATTGTCATGGAAGGGATGTGTTTGCATTTTTGCAGAAAAGATTACTCATATTTTATCAATTAAAGACAAACGATGACATTGACGTATGTTACACCGGTTTAAGAAGGCCTCGTCGAATTTTGTTGATTGCTAAGAGTTTTCGCGATTGTGAGCTTTCAAGTTGCCTTACGTCTTCTAAGCACAGTACTTCTATCTTTCCAGGATCTTGATGCGAGAATCATTTTTGCATTCCTACAGAAGACGACGAATGTTATGTGTTTGGTAAAATAAATGACTTTCGCCATTTCTTGATTACGTCCATCCTGCTTCTATGTATAAGTGCTTTGAGTAATTCATCTCAACTGACACAGTTTGCCTCTCAGTAGATCTATAAGTACAACTTGTATGGTAATAAATACGGATGGGTAATACATACTCCAGATTCACGAGAATGGTGGAAAAGAACCTTCCCAGAACTTGACTGTTCTGCACAACAAGTAAACATAGCGGCGGAGTACTCCATAACTGTTGACCATCTTTACATAAGCAAAGATAATGTGTCCTCGATATCTGGTTTGGTAAGTTACATGTAAGAGTGTCGAGTAATGAACGTCAATGTGGATGATAAGTAAACGTTACAGCGAATGTTTTGTGTCTCTTATATTCTGAAGAAGGAAAATTCCATAACGAAGAAATTTGCCAAATTCCAACTTAAGAAGTTGATTCTAATCATTGTTCTTTTGTCTTCCCACAGACTCCTCAACAGTTTTCCAAGGCGTATGAAGAGTTTGCAAATAACACAAACGTAAAAACATCACTATATGGACCGTTTGGCTTCGACGCGGCCTGGCTGGTGGCGCTTGCTTTAAAGACATCCATCGAAAAACTGTCCGAATCCCAGTTGTTGAACATCCAGGATTTTGCAGAAAATAATGCATCTGAAATTGTTAAAGAGAGTCTGCTAACGACGAGATTTACAGGGGTGACGGTTAGTGATCAAAAACCGAGACTCAGTGATATCAAAAGTTACTAAAAACAATTACAGAGGGTGCTGTAATCTTCTCACCGTTAGAAAATGTCCTAATCGTGAATGAACTTCAGGCTGAAAGTGGGAGATCAAGAGACCAATGTGATACACATGACTCTTTTTATGAAAAGAGATATTTTGTATCTCCGAGCGGCCATATAATTTTATATTTATTACTTATATAAACACCTATGAAATACTAAATCATTTCACTTTGAAAAAACCGAAAGGCGCGATATTTTTATGCAACCATAGCAACAGTGATCTTTTCACGTGTGAAACTATCATGTTCTTCTCACGCGTGAAGATATCATGTTTTCGCCCAAAAGATCACTTGATATTTCATTGTTGTATATATTATAAATACACCTACAGACTGAGTGCGACTTAAATGGCACCTAATAAGAATAGCCATATCTTTATTTACCCCTTTTTATATAAAGTGAACGTACTTTTTTAAATTTTAAATACTCCTAACAGGGTGAGGTACAACTTGAGAGCAATGGAGATAGGACAGGGAAATTTGAAATTTTTCAACTTAGAGGTAACTGAATACATGCATCGCACGGAATTATCATATCATTTAAGTGTTTCAATCCAAGAAAAAAAAATTACTCGATGGTTTTTGATGTTAAGACGCTTGAGTAAGCTAAAAGATCAAATTCATCAGTCTCAAACAATAAAATGGGTCTACACGTATTTTTAACAAAAAAATTATTTTTACAAGTTATAATCGAGTTAAAATTCGTTACAAAATAGTCAAATGTTACCATGTTCACTAGCCATAAATCTAAAGATTTGTTCAATTTTGACATTAAGATCTTTGGTACTTTTATAGGAAGTGTACTTTATCCTATTGCCTTTCACGACGCTACAAAACCCGACTTTCTCTCCTTTTACAATGAAATGGAGTTCAAATGGAGAAGTATGTCATAAAGTTTTAATTTTGTAACAAATAGTTAAATAAAGTTTGTTTGTGAATGCCATTTAAGATGATTTCTCAGTGCTGCACTGCACATCCTATACTGTGCATGACATCGCGTATTAGACGAGAAAGTGCTTGCACATTTTGAGAATATGGTATTTTTTTCAATAAAAGGACAAGGTAAACAGGTGCGATTGTCGTTTGGTATAAGGGCACGGGATCTATAGTTTTAATTACATAATCTTGGTGTTAAAATTATCCCCTTTGAATCGGAAAAATTAGAAAAAAAAATTAATCGGATGGACAAAGACAAAGCTAAAAGCAGCGACAGATTCCATCAAATAACTGTTCTCCCTTGAATGTTGTTGTTAAGTCAAAGTAATTTCTTAAGGGATCAGAGATTTTTTCAACCTGTACTTTGAGGACGTGAGAATGCTTTTAACGAGAAACACCACATAATGTTTATCTTTCTCAAAGTAGCAGTTTCATTTAGTTTCGTATTTTGCTCTTGATTAAGCAGATGACAAGTCCCCTCGCGACCAGGTTCTCTTTAAGGACAAACTGATCCATTTATCGGAGGGGAACTTTATCGTTATGTGTGTTGTAGCTGGCATGGGGATTTTTGTCTGCTTTGGATTTCTGTACTTTAACGTTGCCAATAGACACATAAGGTAAGGTTTTACATTTTTTCTTAATATAATAGTACAAACCAAATCATAATCCTTGATAAACTATCGAGTTCCCAACCTGTATGAGATGCAGTGAGATCAGCTGTAAATTCATTCCCCCTCTTCTCCAGAATGGACGATGAATGAATCCAGCTCTTTCAAACGAGACACCCCGCGTAGCTCAGAAACTGAATGTCACGCTCACAGTTCCACCTCAATAAAAGAGAGACATAAATAAGGCAATGTAAATAGTCAAAGGGTCTGGGATGAAGACGTTGACTCTCGGCTTCTAACATGGATAACCTTTCTGCTTTTTTTCGCTCTCCTCATAGGTTCATCAAGATGTCCAGTCCTAACATCAACAATGCAATTATTGTTGGTTGTATCTTATCCTACATTTCTGTTGTCTTATTCGCCATCGATGGAGAACGTCTTACCAGCTTTACTTGCAACGTAAAGAGCATTTTGAAATGATCCACTGAATTCTGATAAAACAGTCTCTATTTCAACACTTCATCAACTACTAGTTTTGAGCTTATTTTTTATGTCTGGTACTATTTCCAGGCCAAAGTAATAACCTTGGACATCGGTTTCACAGTAGCTTTTGGTTCAATGTTCTCAAAGACATGGCGTGTTCACAGAATCACAAGGAAGATAAGAGTGCAAAGACGGGTAACCAATGCATTACCGTGATTTTCTTCAGATTAGTGGATATCAAATCTCTTGTGTTTGAATAAAGCTTCTCTAGACATAGATGGCCTTGCTTAGTTTTAACGGAAGATTGCTGCTTTGTTTGCTCAGAAATGTTCGCTTGACCCCTAAACTAAGCTAGTTTGTCTATCTTAGTCTGTATGCGAGACAAAAAAGGCCACAGAATCGTTCCATATCCTGATTTTTCATTGCATGAATTGTGTGAGAAAAATATCTGGATGGGATCATTGAATTTTGCAAGCTTTCTTGAGACTTTTCTGTACCCTTCAATTAATGTCTTTCCCTTAATTCCACAAAATAGCCACGGTCAGATACCTTGCCATGATCATTTAATTTGGATTTGGCTGAGAGCACTACCATTAATTATAGAAAAACGTATATTAAGGAAAAGCTCGATCGAAAGAAAATCCTAAAGAAGCCACGAATTAAACTTCCATATTTTGTTTCTGTAATTCTGCAGGTGATTAAAGACATCCACTTGTTTGGAATGATCTTCGTATTCCTGTTTGTCGACATAGTTATCATCATTATTTGGTCGGCAGTGGATCCTTTGCGAAAGGATAAGAAATATCTTGAAGACAAGGTAGGTATTTCTTGATTTCTGTAAGAGAGAATGAAACTGAGAGACTTAATATCGCATATGGGCATTTAATTCCAAGGATAACCCCCCTTCTAGTTATTTCAAAACTTATTAATATCGAATTTCTCGGGAATAGTGGAATAACGCTCTTGGGGTTTCGAAATCGAAGTTAATGAGAATCGAACAATTTTCAATTGAAAATTAGCAGGGTAACCTGGGATTGTTTTGGTTTTGCTTTTCTTCGCTGTGTGATTGGTCCAGAAAACTTGATCCAGTCTCTTGACCGCGAGTTAGTCAAGACTAGCATAGAAAAAAAAATGAATCTGGAAATCAAACAGAGCATTTTTCCCTGGCTGAATTCCACTTTTCATGATTAAGTACATAACCACTTCCTTATTAGTGCAATAATTCAGGAGCCACCATTATTTTTCTCCTCACAACTTTCCGTCAAAATAGGCTGTTCATGAGCAAAATGCAGACGTCATTGACAGGCCTATGGTTTACTACTGTGCAATGAACAGAACTGTTATTTGGTTGCTTTTGGTGTATGGTTTCAAAGGAATTCTACTCATCTTCGGGTCATTTTTAGCGTGGGAGACTCGTAAAGTCAAGATAGCCGCGCTGAATGACTCGCATCATATAGGTCAGTTAGTACCAACATTACCGCAATTAGTATTTTAGGGACATTGTGCTCCACCCTTCGCATCTTAACGTCAGTATACATATTCTCCATACTGTTTTTTACATTTCCTAAAGTGTTGGCAAGGAGAATCAGTTTTACAATCAGGAGCTTCTCTAGTTGGTGATCACTTCCTTTGTTCTCGTGATCTTAATGTGTGATTCAGGGGTAGAATGTTGACAGAAATTAGACGTTGAAAGGTTAAAGTGTAGAACTCTTTCCTACAATGATGTGTTGAATAGAACGATGAAAGAGTATTGTTCTTTAGCCGTGTAATAATGTACGTGCCGTATTTTAGAAAGGTGAACTGAATATGTAAAGATTAAAAAAGTAATGAACACTTCTTAACCGGTAGTGAAAATGAATCCTGAAAAAAATTCAGGCCTGTACGGGAGTCGAACCCATGACTTTTGCGTTACCAGTGCAGTGTTTTACCAACTGAGTTAACGAGCCAACTGAGAGCTAGTCATATTGTTGGTTCGCAAATAAACTCGTTAAGTAAAAAATGAACGACTGCGAATATACGAATATCATGTATATCAGAAGTGCGAAATATTAAATGAAGATGAGAATGATCTTCTCAATAATGAACACAACTTAAGTAGTAGCATTAAGTTAAATTTGTTGTTTTTATTTCTCACAGGCATGGCTGTGTACAACGTGTTTATTGTTTGTACGATAGGAGTTCCTTTGGCAATTTACAGCGACAAGCAAGCCTATGAATTCTCTTTTTACATTATAACAATTTCAATCTTCTTTTGTACCACTTTGACGTTATGCCTCGTCTTTGTGCCAAAGGTTTGTATCAAATATCTTTTTGGCTTCCTCTGTCTTTTCAAGGTCTCTTAATTCATATTGTGCGGATAACTAGAAGTATTTATCAACATTATGATCGTATTTACTCCACGCGCCATGGTTGAGGAGACAAAATATATATATATATATATATATAAATATACACACTGTTCCCAAATTTGCATTATATACTATCATAAAATTTGAAGAGTCGTAACATAAGACATTTTTAATGGATCTTTAAATATCGTTAATGTTGCCTTCTAACTTGGTTCGCTTGTATGACCCAAGGGTCTTTAATGGTGCGACAATTGAAATCAAACTATGCAAACACACTATTATGATATTAATACCCTAAAGAATGAATAGATAGTAAAGACGTTATTGTGTTTTAGGTTCTTTTTATCCGTCGCACTAATGAGAGCTTCCTGATAAGCACCATTCCCATCTTTATATTTAAGCTCCGAAACAACTGATGAAGTAAATAAAGTAACTGAGTGTTTAAAAGAGGCTCTCAATGGGGCTAACCTTTAGCCGCAAAACAGCCAAAAAAATTGAAAAATTTAACCGTTAACCGTAAAAGGTAATACCCCAGTGAAACCCCCATAAAAGTAAATGATAAGTTTAGACCGGCGATATTTCATGATTTGGTATGATTTTTTGACACTCTTTGTTTGCAGATAAGGATAGTGAGGAAAGGAAATTGTGAAGATGCAATTGAAAGATTCCCAACAAATGGCATAAAATACGAAACCAAAAACCTAAATAATTTTCGTGAAAGTTTGAATAGTGCGGAACTTCAAAAGGAGGTTAAACGACTCCGAGAATTGATAGCAAAGGTGAGTAATGGCCTTTGATTTCTGTAACAAACTTGAGATAAACGAATGTGAATATACGAAAGTCATATATTTGAACTGCGGATAAAGACGTGAATATGAAAGTGATCTACGCAGTAATGAACACTACTTGAGCAGTAGTGAAAATAAGGCCTGAAAAAAAGTTTAGGCCTGTAGGGGATTTGAACCCATGACCCCTGCGATACCGGTGCAGCGCTCTACCAACTGAGCTAGCAAGCTAACCGGGAGCTGGTCATGGTTTTGGTACCAAATAAACCCGTGAAGGGGTGAATAGACGAATGTGAATATATGGAAGTCATATATTTCATATCCACGTCTTTATCCGCAGTTCAAATATATGACTTTCCTAATATTCTTAAAGTAGGCGAAATTCGTTTTATAGCAACCACCAGAGCCGTGTTGAAAATACCAACCAGCTGTTTGTATGACCGAATTGAAGACAATTTTATTGTTTTAGCTTATGTTTTCCACTCACACTTTGCTATTTGATCATTATCTTTCGTTTCAGTCAGAGATGGAACGAGAAACGAGGGCATCAAAAGTGTCCCAGCATCTGGTTCCCCAGCCAAGTTGTATGGTCTGAAAATTATTGAACTTAATGTTGCTGTCGTCACACCAATAAATGGATGCTTCTTTAAGGTTATATCACATCAACACTAATAATTGACAATTGGTTATGATCCATTATGCATTTAACTTGAAAACTGTTTGGAGGACAGTTACACGGCTGAATGCTCCTGTACGTTTAAGACGAAAACTTTATCGCCAAGACCTTTTTAAGTCAATACAGTATAGTGCCGAGCTCCTTTAGCGCTCTAAATAGATTATGTTTAATGACTTTAAAATCGAAATATCGTCATAATAAGCGATTTTTTTTGTGACCTTTGAGCATGTGACGATGACGTTATTCAACGGTGCTCTTGATGACCATGAAAAGAATCACAGATAGACCGTGAAAAAAGGAAGATTTTTTTGTAATTATGTGCATCAGTCTTAAAGATTTCTTTTATAAGTCTGAAGTTCATTCATTTCAGGAAATTGAAGCATATGCTTATCTACATGAAAATGCAATAACAATCAGTGGATCTGATTTCATAGCCAGTGTGAGTGTGAGTAATTGTGGAAAAGTTGATCTGATTGGCCAAATGCAACCTCTTATCCCTTCATTATCACCTACATTAGGGTTTTTAAAATACAATATTTTAAATTACAGAGGTGCTTATACTCAAAATACCTCAAAATGTCAAAATACCCCTGAGGGATTTCTTGAATCGATAAGGGAGATTATACAGGAGAACGTGCAGTTGGTTATCCGAGGATGATTATCGAGAACTATTCACCCAAGGCTAAAGAAAGCATTTACTTCGCCGTTGGAGTGTGATTGTTCATTGATCTTTTGGTTTTGTTTCGTGGTGACAGCAAAAGTAATTCAAAATCGACTAACAGCTGCAAGACTGTTCTCTGTTACCACTGAAGTTTTATTTTGGTAAAATTTTTGAAAAGAAAACAAGTTAGCGTTTTAAGTTCATAATTTTTCATTTGTGTTCAGTTTTTGTCTCAGTAATGTAGTGCAAACAATGAAATAATCTACCGCGAAGAAACTTCCGCAACACGCGCCTGATTTATAATAACATTTATATGATGATTCATTCCCTGGCAATTTTTTGAGAGATGGACTTGGCTTGTCTCGTTAAAAACCCTTCGGCGGCAACAAATGTGGTCGCTGATATTCAAGTTTTGGTCATAAACACTGTAAATGACGGGATTGATGACTTCGTTGAAAATTGCTCCGAAAAACGAAACCTCGTACAGTGTGTGCCCATGGTGTACACTTTCAGTTCCAGACGCAATCCTCCAAATGCCTAAGAGAAACGTCGGAGACCAGCAGATAAAAAAAACGACTACGATTAAGCAGGCCGTTTTCGTCACTCGTTTCCTGCTCCGTCGAAGAGCCTTTTCCGCTATAGGAAACCTTGCCGATGGTGTACGATTAGGACGTCTTCCAAATGTAACCCTGATCACGTGATAGTAACACCAGCAAATAACACAGCAAGGGGCAAAGAAAAGTAAGCCAAACTCAACAGCTTCATAAAGTTTGTCGAGCCATTGTATTGGAATGGCAGTTGGTGTGCATAGCGGAAAGTGATCTTGGAGGAAAAACGGATGATCGATAATTGTGTACATGTACAAGTACGGAGAAGACACCATAGCAGGTACAATCCATGAGGAGGCTATTAGTTGTTTGACGAGTCTGGGTTTAAGTTTGGGTAGATACGGTAGAACCAAAGAACGATATCGATCAACTGCGATCAGCGCATGTGAGATCACAGTAGTGGCAGCAGCCGAGATCTCGACATAATCGATGATCTTACAAAGTGTTTTTCCAAAAATCCATTTGCCGAACAGCTGGCGGGTAAACTCGAAAGGGCAGAACAGTACACCAACAACAAGATCCGAAAGAACCAAGTTTAGAATAAACTGATATGTTGGACGATTTCTGAGTAATATTTTCCAACGTTTGATCAAAACGTACGCAATGATAACATTGCCTGTAATGGAAAGAACCATTCCCACTCCTATAACTGTAGCCATGGTGATGTTAGCAGCCGTGTTTGCTGCCATCACGGTTATATAAATTTAGCGGTGGTTGTTGAAGTAAACGAAACTCATGCCTATTAAAAATACATATGAATAAACTGGCAAGTTTTTTTTTACAGCTACGCGCAGTGGAAATTTGGTTCCACCAGCATGCAGGTGTAGTGAGTGACTGAATTGGTTTCCCAAATGACTTGAGTATCATTAACATCCTATTCGATCATAAACAATCTATTGGACTGAGTAATCCAGCAAAGCCTGATGTTTCCAAAAGAACAACAGGCGGCATGCTTTTAATTTTCCTTCATTTTTAAAGGCGTTAATGAGAGGATTTTATGGTGACAAGAGCTCCTTTGAGCGCATAAGCTCTTTAACCTTGCTCGTTGCGCCAGAAGAGGTCATATCCTTCTTGAAGAAATAAGAAAGCAGAATATAGAGAAAATTCAAAAGTATAATAAATGAAAAATATTGTTACACGGGTTGATGATGTCGAGTGGAATCTTCCCTTTTTACCTTGGGCAAAAATTAGCTAAATTTCGAGGTTGTACTCCATCAAAGCAAATTGAGGCTCGCTTGAAGCCAACTGAAAAAAAGGCTTTTAAGTCTCCTCTTAGAATTATTCATTAATGCAAGAAAACAATGTAAATTTCAACTATTATTGTTTGGCTTAAACTGAGTTGATTTGCTTTATAAGTAAAGAGTCAAGGACGCTACAGGAAAAAAAAATCGTCGAGGGGAATTAACCATAAAAAATTTAAAAATTCAGACTGAAGAGAGTTTACTAGAATCACTTTTAACATAAAAATATTTCGCTTTGTGGGGCTTAATTGTTAATGGAGGATTAACACATGCATTCAGTATATGTTTCTCTTTAAAAAATTCATGATCGCTTCTTTGATTTGACAATCTCATTTACTCAGTCAAAAAAAAAATGGAATATTTAACTCATAGTCATAACAGAAACAACGCTTTAGGCCTCGAGCATTTTCCATGGTTTCGCCGACTACGAAATTCTATCCACTGAATTCACTTTCCTTTCGGGTTAGATAACAGTTCTCTTTCGTGCAATCGTACCAAAATACTTGTGGTTCTCATGGTTTCCAAGAAATTACGTCGGGGAATGCTTTAAGTATATCGAGCAAAATCTTCCCAGCTCTCATTATTTCCGGTAACTTTTGTCAGTAACTGCTTTTTAAATCTATCATATTGTCCTCATTCTATTTTTACTTGAATATAATTAATAATTTAACATCATAATGTAAGAATACCGTGAGAATTTTTCCCTACAATGACAAACAAGCCGGTAATGGTGTTACAGGTTAGGCTTTGTCTTTGTTCAACGACGGCAAGATGTTTAAAGGTCAAACTTAGTCTATTCGGAAACAATAATAATAATGATACGTGCAAGTTAGTTTTACAGAGAGTATAGACCCCGAGCGCCATTAAAATGTTTCCCACGGTGGTATACCAAAGCCACGCCCCGACACGAGTTTTCGTTAATCGTCAATCATACAAAAGCGTGCCTCTACACAAGCCTACTGTGTCTTTTGGGAAAAAACACACGTGCGAAAATAGGACAAAATCATTCTGTGAAAACGATACAAAGAGCACTATAGCCCTAAATTGTTTATCTATGCAATGAAATGCGTGCAAATGACGGGGTAGGCCAATTTCCTTTTTTTCTCGCTGATAAACATATAAAACACTGCAATTTAGGGAAGGACAACTTCTCACAAAATTCTTATCCACTCATCTCAATCGAGACCAGTATGTACCGCTTGGGAAATACCACTCTCGTTCCTCATCGCTCTCGGGTTTCACAATAGCTTAGCCTAAGCTAAATTTCAATGCACAACACGGCCTGGAGTTAGGCTCAAATTAAAAACAGTGACAAGATATTTTCCGGTTAGTCTTCTATTACTATCTTGATGTAAACACCACACTCTGTCGACAAATTACAAACTGTACTGTCTATATATTCAGTTTCATAAGGGTCAACGAGGAACGAGACAGATAGAAGATGTTTTTTTCTCTGCGGTTGATGTAAACACAAAACACCCCTTTACCACCATATTTTTATTCTTTTTTATTCGTAAATAAATCGTTATTTCTTTTTAACAAATATGTATGTGAAAATCATAAATTATGGTTTTAATGAACATATCCTTGCAATAAATCGGTCAAGTCGTTTAACAGTGTAACGGACCGGTTACAGTAAAGTATACTGAGCAATTATAAAGGATAGCTGAAAACGTTTCCCCTTAAACGATATTTGCATGTATTCTAATTCATTTTCGAACGAGGATTCCTGGTGTCTCTGAAACTGAGCCCTTGATTTCGAGTGGTTTTAGCCAGACTTTCATTGGTCTGACTAAATCCTGTAGCCTCTAGCAAGGGATCTCTGCAAAGGAAGCGAGGGCTAATTCTCGCTTTTAAACTCCTATCGAACGCACAGTAAATAACGGGGTTTATCGCTTCGTTAATAAATGCACCAAACATTGCGATTTTGTGAAGAACGTGTCCCCGGTGAATACTATCCGTTCCCGACACAATCCGAAACCAGCCTAGAACCAGTGTTGGAAGCCAGCATACCACGAATACTGCAGCAACTAAACAGGAAGTTCTCGTGACGCGCCTCTTGGTGCTGGAAATAACCGAATATTGCGAAGCGGAGAAATTCTCTGCCATTACAGTAGGGCTTCTTCCCCAGATGGTAAGTATCACGCGAAAATAGCACCAACACAACACCATAAATGGCAAGAGGAAAACGACAAGGAATGATAATGCTCCGTAAAGTTTATCTAACCAGCTAAATGGAATAGCTTTTGGCGTACAAATTGTCTTGGAACTGATAACTTGAACCTCAAACATGTACAGATAAGGTGTCTCTACAACGGCAGGGACCACCCATGACAGCGCTATCATTTTTGTGACGAGTTTGCTTTTCATTCGGGGTGAATAAGGACGGGCCAGGCTGCGATATCGATCATAAGCAATCAAGGCGTGAGTAAAAACTGCGGTACAAGAAACAGCAATTTCAATGTACTCGATGAGTTTACAAGGCGCTGTTCCAAAGATCCACTCATCTAGGAGCTCGCGGGTGAATTCAAAAGGCATCGTTAGAAGGCCAACGAGGAGATCTGAAAGCACTATATTTAGAATAAACTGATACGTTGGACGATTTTTAAGAAGAGCTCTCCTGTTCTTCACGAGAACGTAAGCTACTAAAGCGTTACCTAGCACAGTCACGACATATATGACAGCTAGGAAAGCAGCTTTAGAGATATCTGAAGCTGAAAACGCCATTTTTATGCCCCTTCAGAACGACAACCTCAGTTTCTGTCTTGACCCTAACATTCAATTTGATAAACTTCGGCCAAAATGAATCTTCAGATGCACCTGCTTAGTGTAAACATGTCCGTTGAGTTTCCTTGTACTGTAATTTGTTTTTAAGGAACCTCTATTAGGCAGAAGAAAAGAAAAACCCCGTATATTCTGGAATGTAATTTTCCAATGTAGCATTTAATGTGGCCATTCATGTTACATGTGGATAACAACTAAAGACCGCGTATGTCCTTCGGAAATGAAACTTAATCAACGTAGTCTGAAGTAATTAGTGTCGCTGATGGGAAACCGCGTTAATTTCTGACGGTTTTCATGTATTATTGTTTAACCAACGAGTAATTAAAATGATGGAAATTGCTTTTGGTTTATTTAAGGCTCAAAATCGTCACATCGCTCAGTTAATTTGACTCAATTCGTTGACATTTTTTATAGATGAATTCTTACGGATTCTTTGTCGCAGCTAAAAATGAAAGTTGTAACGAAAACTGCCGTAGAATCCAGCCTGGTTTCATTCATAATGCGGTTCATCAGGCTACGGGAATAACTCTAAATTAGTAATAGTCTCAGGTTCATGTTTATGATTCCAAAAAATTATCGCTTTTCTGTTTTTACGTCATTATTGATAATAAGATGCAATGCGTTCATGTATTTTTCTAGAAAGGCACCCTACTGACGCTACCATAGAACTTAGCCTTCGCTGTTCTTGGTCTCAGTCAGAAGTAGGAGAATACAACAGAAACGAAAAAAGAAATAACCATACATACGACAAGAGAGAAAAAAAACCATAATAAAAAAAGATAAAGTAATAAGTAAAAACAAGAAAGGTTATTTTTAAGAAAAGAGCAACAAAATCACTTCAAAAGCAAAGAAAAATTGTGTGCGATTTAAATTTTTATGTGTACAAGATTAACTTGCAAGTGTGGAGCCGCCCTTAGGAAGTTAACTGAGAAATTTTTATTGGTGAAGGCGGTGGTAAAGGAAGTGATTTCATCACAGTGATATTTACTCCCGTCAAACATTTAGGCCTTAAATAATTCTCATCGTCGGAACAGTGGCGGTTGTCTGCTTAAAGGTTAAGAGCTGTGTTAATGGAGTCCCGCTGTGCATGTGCTCGTATTTCGTTTGCAAGCAGTGTTTTCATTGGCTCGATTAACTCCATTTTCTCGAGTGCGGTCTTCGAGGGAGGAGCGCGGGCTCGCTTTCCGAACAGCTGCTGATAATCGCACTAATGTCTCCCGAGCCAATGTCTTCCGAGAAAAGATCTTCAAGCCTAGTTTATAGAGCCGTCCACTCTTTACAGATGGCATTGAAGCTTTTTTGAAAGCAATTTGATCGATTGGCGCCCGGCCAAAAAGAGAACCTCTAATCAAACTGAGGAGATGGCGAGGGTAAAACTTGGGAACAAAGTTGAGAAAAATAGAATCAGATTGTTGTTGACTATAATGAGGTGGTAGAAAAAAACAACACCAGGAGAATTGAATAAAAATCATCAACGCTCTTGTTTGCTATTCAATATTCATCTTCTTTCAAACATATTGAAATTTCCCGAGGCAGAAACTTATGCTTCTGTCAAAAGTTATATTATCTACGTATTCAATACTTCACAACTGTCTTGTTTTATAATTCAATATTCTTTTGGAAAAGAAATTTGAATTTATATAAATATTCATTATTCTTCTTTCACAGCCGGATATAACAAACTTACGAAATTCTGAAATTTATCGTGTGTTCCCACAGCCTCCACATGTAAAGTTAGAATTTACACTTTTTGGATCGAATTTCATCCTTTATATCTAATTCTTTAGGGTGAGAATCGAAAACCACAATGGGTAGAGGTCAGTTAGTTGGCAGATCCGACTTGCTTTGGAACAAATGCTTATGAAAATGGTTGATATTTTGTATGTGAGTGAAAGCTACCTGCTGGTTTTCATAACTTTACTCTTGGTTATTGCCTCCGTTCGTATAAACTCAGTGACAGTTGGAATTGGAAGCGGACGATTACATGTAATTACAATAAGCCCACAGAGAAACAAAAACCAGTAATGTTTAAAGAGAGAGTCTCATCTCATATCTGAAGATTTTTAGCTATGGATGAAGTTTTTCGATATAAGAAGTATAAGACCACTGCAGATTTTCCCAATAATTCTTTGCGAATGCGAATTTCGAATTTCGAAAGACTTTGACTTAGCTGTTGTCAAGAATATAAATAGATATGTTGATTTTTTTAGTGTTTACTCCTTGTTGTAAAAGGACCCCCCAGCGCATTTTAGAAAATACTAAAAACTTCACCTGTGTGATCAGCAATCTACTTGTTTTACAGGTAAAACAATTATTCGATATATATCTTTTTGTATCCTGCTAATCTATGAAAATTTTCGGAAATATTTGCAAATTACGCGATACGCCTCCTTTGAAACTTTTTCAATTTAGTTTAGCAGGTGTTAGTTTGTATTGTTAAATTATCCACATACGTTTATTAAAAACGCCTTCCTGTTAAAATTATCGTAGTCAGGTTTCCAGGAGCGATGCCCTGCGAGTGTTAATATGGCGTACTCTGTCTCAGACATCTCCAAAGCATCCGCGTTGGGTGTAATATTTATCGTGACTGTTTTGGGAAATGCTTTGGTCGCATATGTTCTCATCAAGAACTACACGCGTCTCCTCAAAAATCGTCCAACGTATCAATTTATCTTAAACATAGTTCTTTCCGATCTTGTAGTTGGCCTTCTAACGATTCCTTTCGAGTTTACTCGCGAACTTCTTGGCAATTGGGTATTTGAACGAGAATTGTGCAAGATAGTCGAGTACATTGAAATTGCTGTCTCAGGGACTGCAGTTTATACTCACGCGCTAATCGCCTATGATCGATATCGCAGCTTGGCTAGACCTTATCTACCAAAGTTGGATGGAAAACGCGTCAAGAAAATGATAGCAATGGCATGGCTTGTTCCCGCTGTTATGGCTGCCCCTTATTTGTACATGTTTGAAGTGCAAATGATTCCCTCAATGGCCAAGACAATTTGCAGTCCAAGAGCTATTCCAATAAGTTGGTTGGATAAATTGTACGAGGCAGTTGAGTTCCTCGTTGTGCTTTTACTCCCGTTCATAGTGTTGTGTAAGTGCTATTTTCAAGTGACACTAATCATGTGGGGAAGAAGTCCTATGGTGGCAACGGACAGTTTCCCCGCTACATCACGTTCGATTATTCACAAGACTAAGAAGCGCGTTACGCGAACATCTGGGCTGGTTGCAGCAACTTTCACAGTGTGCTGGTTGCCAACTTTTGTTCTGAGCTTTGTTCGGATTGTGTCCGGCACAGAAAGTGTCCATAGAGGACACGTTCTTTACGAAATTTCCATGTTCGGTACATTTATCAACGAGGCGATAACCCCTGTTATTTACTGTGCTTTCGATAAGAGTTTGAGAGCGAGAATTGCCGCTCGAGCTATTTGCACGTATTTAACAGAATCGTCAAGATCAAGCGTTCATATTGATCAAACAATAAACACAGTGACCCAAAATACTGCGGCCGATACGAACCGAAAGAGGGTGAAATTTAGAAATCTTGATTTTAACACTGAACTGAATCATGAGAGATGCTCAGAGGGTTTGAAGAATCTTAACGAAGAAACAAGATTGCAGTCCTGCTTAACACCGAACGAGAAAATTAACTAAATGCATCAAAACGAAACTGTAATCTTCTCGGGTATTTAATGGGGTAACTTGTTTATCTTATGGCTCAGCAAAGAAAATGCTAAAAACGATTAAAAGTAGCAGAGATCTGTTTTATTTTCGTTCCTAGGTGTTTAAACAAAGTAAACATTAAATTTACCAACTTTGCCACCATCTTCAGAAACTGTGGATTTTGATCCCCTTATAAAATAGTTGTTATCAATCTACTCTTTTAAAAACGAATCCTCCAGAAAAGATACACTCTCGTAAGTCATTATCGTGTTTTCAGAATCTTAAAGTAGATATGAATGTTTTAAACATCTGATAATGGGCAACTGAATGCAGACGATTATCGTAAAATTTACTAGATAGTAATTCTGAATTTAGCTAAGAATGAAGAGGAAAATTACACCCAAATGCTATCCATTTCGACTGGACATAGAGCAATGAAGAGCGAAAATGAATAGAAACTAAAAATGATTTGGCAACAGGAACTTTTAGTAACCGACCGAGAGTATATTATGGTCTTTGTTTTCTTTTAAAAATGTTAATAGCCATCAGTCCTCTTCGTAAATTTCAATATCCTCATTCAAATAAAATGATTCATCTCTTTTGATGATTTAGGATTTTTTTTTTGCAAGAGGTTTGGAATATGAGTGACTTAACTTCATTGAAGGACAAGTGAACCCAACGTAAACTTTGGCTTATGCAAATTATTAAGTGTTTTTCGTTTACTTTGCAGGCTAACGTTGAGGAAATTACTGCTTAAGTTAATTGCTGGCTTAACCTAAGCACCTGCCTTCATGCGACAAAGATTAAAAACCTCTTTTTTTGTGTATGCCAATGGCAATGGATATAGTTCATTCATTCATCACCACAGGACAGTTTATGAAGAAATTTTTCGATTTGAGTTTGTGGGCGAATACAGCACTCTGTTTTGTATACGATGTTCACTGTACATAAAACACCACGCCGCTCTCGCACTCAACCTACCGGATGTATGCCATTCCTTTTCTATGAATGATTTTTTCTGCTCCCTTCCCTACGTGATAGAGTGAAAGTAATCTGCGAAGGGAAAAGCATTTTAATCTGACTTTGGCCGACCGGAGAGGGCGATTAATTCATACAGCGAAATTGGTGAACTTCGCTCCTATCGGTCATTGTAGCAGTGTAGATCGTTCCGTGAGCTACCTGGGAGTAATTTATACTCCAGGAGTCCCCTCCTGTTTTAATTATTTTTTCCTTTTTCAACTTTTACTTCTGCATAACCTCTGCTAAGGGTTCGCTTCAATCCCTTGGTTAAAAGGAAATGAAAAAGACTGCTTCACAAGGTTAAGTCTTAGTCGAATATAAAAGTAACATTATAAAAGTTAATTATCCCACTAATTCAGGGAACGATCTTGTTAGCGCGATTTTAATTTCCTTATAGCTGCATTTCCGGAAATCATGCAGCTGTCAATCTAAGCTCGCTTCGAAGGAGGATTTTTTTTAAAGCCCAGACAAAATGAAACCAACAGTAAAAAAAAAAAAAGGAAAAATTGAAATTCAACCGGTTTATTGAAAAAACAATGAAAATTAGCAATAAAGACCACAAAAACAACGAAAATAATCAACAATGGCAGAAAAAAGACGCTATTGAAAACTGAACTTAATCTCTTTTTTTTTTTTAAGCCATGGATATACGAAACTTAGGAACGAGCATTGTGGGGAATCAATATGTTAATTCCATGTTGTTAGCATCTGTTTTTCTCAAGCAGTCGACTTAATTTCGAAAATACCTATATAGGCTGCTATCAATTTCGATCAAAGCACATAATTATAAGAGTGAATTCGTATAACCCGTTCGTTTTTATGCCTGTGAGTTCATCCCTAAGTGATATTCGGAAAAACAATTAATTGATTGTAACAAGCGTTCACAGTTTTGAACACTTGAATCAATCGTGCGTGCCAAAACAGGACACGAGAACTCGGATGAGTTAAAATTCAAGTACACTTATTGGAATAATAAAAGTAATTGTTTTGGTAAAAGTTGATTTCTGTACAGGAATTCCCTGGAAAATGATCGTTCCTATATTTTATATTTTTGATCCTTCCTAATTCTTGTTTTGGCTTTACCCCATATCAAATTCACGATTAGGAAAGAGCTAAATTATTTTAAATTTTATCGCGATTAACACTTCTTTTCTTTCAATGTGATCATGCGTGTAAACAATTTCGACTTTTCATCATTCGCTCTGAATTTATAATTAGGAAATTTGTTCGAAGAGCACGTAGCTCGATAATTTTTGGAAAAGGACGGTACCTCGGATGCCTTTTCTTCTTCAACTTTTCTGTTTAGGCCATTGCAATTTTACAGCCTCTAAATACTATTTCCTCTGTAAATCTCCTTTTCAACGTAAGTAAGTTTTAACAATTTTTTTTCATAGTTAATCTTGTTTTTGCTTTGCCGGATCTTAAGTGGGAGTGTATAAAAATTTTACGTAGTAAATCAATGGTAAAAAGTCCATATTTCGATGGAAAAATATTAAAATGATTCAGTTTCCATAATTTAGAGCGATCCATTGGTTAGGATCAATGGCAATGGACATATTTCAGCAAGAGTATTGGATGGTTAGAGAAATCCCAAATATTCTTTCAACAATATCCATTGCCCAGTTCTCAATCCCTCTTGTAGCAACAACGAGAAAGGAAAGGAAAATTTTCCTCCCTACAAGGGACAGTTCATATCATGCCAAAGAACCTGTTGAAACACTTTTAATCCCCAAATCATTCGAAGCAATACATGGCAGTCTGAGGCCGTTCTTAATATCTAGGCAGTTGGAAAAGCTGATTCTAGAACAAATATATACCTTTGAAATCGGCGCGCTCAATTCTCACGATATGAACAGACGGCTCTTATTCAACTAATTTATTCTTGTGTTTTTCGAGTTTACCACTAAAAGCGTAGCTCCATCTTCCTGTACACAACCCACAATTCCTCTATTTGCTCTGACGAAAGGGCTAACGTTCGAAATGTTTGCACTAGAAACTCTTTTCTGTGGCCAATTTATATTATCAACTCACTCGATGAAAATTGTTGTTTTCTTAAAAAAATACATTTCGCTTAGCCAAACGAAACATTGGTTCAAAGACCTTTCAAAGAAGAGAAGTTTTTTTGGTTACTCTCAAGCTAAAATTTTGTATGTTCACAGCAAGGAAGTTATAGTTTTCATATCCGCAGACGCATATCAGTAAAAACATCATCTTCATGATGGCAATCTAATTCACGAGATCCTCAATTTTTGACAAAAGTCGAAAGAACGCTTCCTTTTTAAGGTGGCCATTAACCAACTGATTTAAGTTCAAACTAAGAATTTGAAAAGTTGTTTTTTAGTGGAGGGAGAAAGACCAGATAAACATATCTCGACTATGACATCTGATTTATCCGTTATTGCTAGTTAATGAACTCCATGAAGGCCCTCGAACCAAATTAACACAATTTTCCTGTGCTGTTTATTTAAGAACTGCTGCTCTGTTATCTTAACACGCGGATATAGCTAATTGTTTATTTGCCCACAGTTAAGCATCGTTATTCAAATTTAAAATACTCCTTTTACGATCCTTTTGACCCATCAAGTTGATGAAGTTAAAAACGCCTGCTCTGCTCGTTGGAAATATCACGTTTCAAAACCCTTCGCCATTTAAGTGGTTTGTCGCTAAGGAAGCAATATACGCTGTATTAATTAAGTTGATAAAATCAATACTAAGCAATGATAATTTAAACAGGTAACAAAAATTTGACGAAGGAAATCATTTCAGTTCAAATGGATTTCAAACGATAATAAACTTATGCAATTTTTCCCAATTCATTGTAAGCCACACAATGTGAATAATAATTTTAGACATTACAAGTTTTTATGCTTTTACCATAACCGTTAACTCTATTGTAAGGAGAGCAGATGGGTTGAAGGTAGATACCGCAAGCTTATCATAATCGCAAAAAACCATGGTAACGCGCCTTTTTAAAGGGAAAGCGCTGAGTGCTTTTCCGTGCAAAGCTTAGATCTTGTATACGCTATCCACAAAGGCCGGAGCAAAGCAATTTCATTCATCCAGCCTCCAGAAAGCTGACCAGGGATTTAAATAGTTCTGTCAAGCGGTCCGATCCTTTCATTAGCAATTTCAATGTCGAGGGTAATCTGAGTTGCTCTCAAACAGTTTTGATGGATCATTAGTAAAGGTAAGAACATGGCAAGATTTCGCGCGCACGTTTTTGATGCAATACGTTCAAATTTAGATTCATTTGGTTATTTTAATTTGTTTATTGAATTTGGAGAAAAAATGTTGCCCTTGCCCTTGCCTTTAGTGTGATAGTTAAACGTGCTCATATAAGTCGGGGTACAATGACTGTTGCATTGTGATGTTTTTTAATGTTATATCTAGATGTCTCCTTTGAAATGTTTAACACAATTCAATAACTACCTTAACCATTACTTTACTTCCCAATCGCTAGTAAACAACTTACAGCAAGATCTAACCACATTTAAGTAATTCTCGCTGTTTAATATTGCGTGTAGCCGCATCTTAATGAATAAACATCAGTGCGCCCTCTTAAACTGTCTTCACGATTAAAAGTACCTTTCTGTAATCTATCTTTCTACCTTCACAAGTCATTCCTGCTACTCTTTACGAAGAATTTCAACGCAAGAAAATTTTCAGCAAACATGCAATTTAAAAGTTGATTGAAAACGCGCACGGAAAAGTTAAAACAACTCAGCTAGGTAGATAGTTTGCATAATGAGAGGTAAGCCTGACCATCGTATATTCCTTATCAATGGAATAGGAATTTCAATTTTTCATAATCCCTCCAGTCAAGACAATAAGGGAAGTCATAAAATTGCATACGCACAAATGGCAAGTTTTGAACACCTGCAGCTTTGGGGATATTACAATTTAAATCATGCGGATTCCCATTGTGAATTCTTGTTAATTTTCATACGCACAATGGACATCTACACAAAAAACTAAACAAATAAAATACTTATTTTATGCTGACCCTGTCCTGTTACGAATACGATTTGAGAGACGAAGAAAAATGCAATGCGAATATTTACAGGCTTCTCCTACTTGGCTTCACGAACTTCGTATGGAAATCGTATACCTCTTGCATAATATGACAAGGATATTAACAATTTCATGAGAAAAAAACATCGACAAAATAGTTAATATTTGTGGATGCGTGAAAAATTCTATTGAACGAAACACAAATTCTTTAAGAGGATTTTTAACAGCTGTTTTTAGAAAGAAAAATAACCGCAAGTAAGGAAAGTTTATCACATCGCGTGATTGTTAAACTTACCCTCGTTTTTTCCCGGAGCGATATGCTAATTGTGTTTTGAAACAACGTTGAAATGTTTAATACAACGAACATAACAACCGCTCTAGTAAATTCGTGTTGACCACTTCCTCGTCCTGTTATCAGTTTTACTAATGCACTCCGTCCCCGGAAAGTCCGCTTAAACATCTTTGGGAGCTTGAGTTTATTTTCTTTTAAGAAACACAGACTAATATCAACTCATTCATTACTTTTTTGGAGAAACTATATCAGCAAGCCTGACAGAGACTGTCGGTACGAAAACAAAGACAAAAATGATCAAATCGGTTTTCTATCAAAAGGAATTTTTTGACGGTCGATTTCCACACCGCTTACCGACCCTCGTAGAATTTTCACCTGCACGCAAGAAATTATATTATCTGTCTGAGAGCATGTTAGTTACGTTAATTCCTTTCGAAAGCGCTATTTCCTTCTTAACGTTCCTAGTCCTTAAGTTCTTCCGATAAAGAAAAGCCTTTGTCCACGGTAAGTAAATACCATGTTTCGTTGTGCGCGAATATTTTTGGACGATTTAAAGCCGAAATATGATATCTTTCTACCAGTACGTCAAATTTCTTTAATTTTTCTGCGTAGGCTATAATGGTCGTAATATCATATTTTCCAAACGTCGTGGAGACGAATTTGAGAAAGCGCCAAATTTTAAAAGCCCACTTTTTACTTAGAACTGAAGCTAAAATCTGCTAAAGTCAAAACTATATGTCAAGTTTCTTTTATTCGTCTGAGGTAGTTCTCTGCAAACCGGCCTGTTTATTCTGAATATATAAATTGCCCTTGCAGCAATGCAATTGTCATTATTTAGTAGAAAATGTCAGGAAGTTTATTTTGAACTTCAGACATTTGGATGAACAGAAATCGTCGCTGAAAATCAATAATCTCGCAAACATTTTCTCTCACTGTTCACAAACGTGTCTGTCACTGCATGCTGAAGAACGCAATCTAAAAAGGGAGAGGCAGCTCGGTGAATGAAAGATCTTGTGGTTTAAAACGCTTCTCTAAAATGAAGCGGTTTTAAAATGTGACAACATTTAGTTTTCTGACGCGTAAGACCCAATGCATAATTCATGTGAGCAAACACATGGCAGAGGAACAGACCGCTACTTGTGGGCGTACTTTAAAAGTTAGTAATAAATTTGTTATGTACTGAAAAACTTTTGTATTATTCGACACTTAAAAGATCTAATGATATTACTTTGGAGGACTTCCTGTTCTCAATGTCTCGGAAAAATTGAATCCGTAGAGTTCTGACTCCTTATGACGCCCCCATTCAGATGGTTGATAGTTAAACATGCTGCTTAAAAACAGGCACAAACTTGGCGTCATTATTATGCATGTCACGATCTTCGGAAGTGTTTGTTTGCCAACTTACCTCAATTTTCCGTTATGCATCTTTCTCATTAATGACTAGAACGGAGTCATTGGAAACGTTTACTGCAATGTTCCCGAAATTGTGCGACTCAAATAATTATGAATCAGAAATCCATTAAAAAAACTCTGCTTTTTGAAGTAACCATCATCTTTTTTTTTTTCTGACAACGCGTGACTTTTTCCAATAGGCATAAATAATACATTTCTATTCGAAATTCTACAACAAGTGTTGTCTACCAAACAGGAAGAAGAATCATTTGCCTCAAGAAAGGTGTCAGTTATCACCGAACCAAAAAGTCTTAGAGAAACTCCATCCTTTTTTTCGCGCTTGTAACATACATGAAAGCATCAGCTTCAATTTGTAAGGTATGTGAAGAATTATCTTAATACCAGAATCGATCTAAAATGCTTTGTTCTATTTCAAGACATTTCTAACCTTTTGATTCATTTTATAAAATACACTTGAGACCTTCGAAAGCATAAAGACCAAATTTGTTTTTCTTCTGCACAACATACTCTTACCGAGCAATCGCTAACAGTGAGAGGCTGGTGTCGCTTCTGAAACTCTTCGAGAAAAATGTATGAAATGATTGACGAAACCCACAGGTGTTAGATTTCCAAGGAAAGAGAAAAGCGTCAAGCCACTGTTATCTTCTTCAGTTTCAAAATCTCCCTCCTCGACAATTTTATTTCCGTTTCTCCGTGATGGCTAGATTGTTTGTTGTTGGAGACTTTTTTTTTTTATTCCTAACGTAATTTTCATGACCGTGTCAAGCCCTGGTTAGAACCTAAACTATGTCGTCGAAAGACTTAACTGATGGAAAATGTTATTTCAAGTTTCGGCAGGTGATGCTCTGTCGGGTTTGGATTTCAAATAACAATAGCAAGATTCATTATTCCCAGTTATATAATGAAAAGAGCAACTAGGAAACAGATATTTATGTCAATAAGGGAATAACATGACTTTTTGAGGGAAAATTGTTTATTTGCGCCCTTGTAGTGTCATGCCGCAAATGACACTACAAGGGCGCAAATAAACAATATTCCCTCAAAAAGTCATGTCATTATCATTATTATCAATAAACAAGGCCAAATGATATCAAGAATGCGAGTTTTAATAATACAAGCTAAGTGAATGACGAATTCAAAGTCACTTCGGATGATGAAGCAAGAACCAATCAGCTGTAGGGCTGATAATGCATTAGCAGCCCGCTGTCAGTCTTTTGCGGCCCGCTGAGCGTGTGTTTTGAAGAGGCCGATTTTCTATTTGGCCGCGTATATTGATAATAATGATAATTGATAACAGGGAATCATGAATAAGAAAGGCAATGAAAGTGAAGACAGTTTGTTGATTATGTCAATGATCCTTGTTATCACAATGCTTAAGAGGTGACTATGAATTGGGCATCCTGTTGATCAGGTCGAATGACCGAACCCTAGTGCCCGCAATGCATGCATGGTAGCGCTCCTGAGACGCAGCATGATATATTAAAAGACCTATAAAATAAACTGTAGAATAAAGCGACCCAATGCGATCCAATCGCTGCCAAAATTTTTTTTTAGAGCCGAAGTAGAGCTCAAATAACATTTCCCAGGAGGAACTTAAAGTATTTGATCTTTCAGGAAAGCGTAAACATTGTGCGTTTGTCATCTGTTTTCGCGAAAACTGTAACAGGTAATCTATTTGTTATATTCTATGCCTTATCAAAAGTTGCCGTGTTTATGCTTTACCAGATTCTTTACATGCAAACTAAAAATATCAACAGGTTCTGTCCAACAAATATTCCTACTAGAAAATAATTTACCCGCAGTTCGTTGGCAGATTTTATTGTCTGACTTTGAGATGTCTAAAATTCCGTACGAGAACACAGAAAACTGTTCCAGAGCGTCTTGCACTTTAAATGATGTAATCCAAAGTATCCGCAATGCATGCAAGGCAGTGCTCCCATGATGCAACACGGAACGATTAATAACCCATGGTAACCCAGAACTTCAATCGCCACCTTTTAATTTCAAGAAATAATATTCTTTCTTTTCCCAAATTATTTACATGCCCGCATGAAAAGGAAGAGGTTTGAAATAGCATATTCAGTAAAAGGAAATCTAGCTAACTTTTAAAAAGCGCAAACTGACGCACGTACTTAATCTTCTTGGATGCCATTGGATTTGGTGTAGGTTTACTTTAGATAAAACAGTACGATTGCGTCAACACTAATGATTGAGTGGTTTTTTTCCTCTAAGTAATATGCATGTGTGGGAAGATCCGCTTCTTTTGTGTCACCGAAAGAAACGACATTTTAAGAGGTAGATATACCGGCGCTTTAAGGCATAAAGTTGAGGGCTTCGTTTTTAACTTTATATCACCATGAATGCCCGATTACTATCGCCTCTATAGTTACAGTGCTGCATTAGAAGGCAGTGAAACAGTTTCTGGAGATAAGCAGCTGCTTCAGGGAGTTAATTATCTCATGTGCAGTATTTATTTTTGGAAAAATGTATTCAGTATACAAAAGCCATTTTATTTTGTGACTCCTTATATCGATTCTATCTCCCAAAAAATTTTAAAAGATTTGTTTACTCGTGGAGAATTTCCGAGAAAAAGGAAAGGCCGCTGCAAAGTAAAACTAAAGTGAATTGGAATCCCCTTTTATGGTGGAAGATGATTTGCCCGATTGGCTTGACGTGTAAAATACCGCAATAATAATTAAAATGATGCATCTTTTCCAATCTTTTGAACAACCGCACAATAATAATCTACAACAAGTTACACTCACCATGATCCTTAAGCTTGAGCTTTAAAAATTGCGTGCATTGCATAAAGAGCGGCCATTTACATGTACGAGAGTGCAATGTGTCCCCGTGAATACAACAAAAAAGTGGATATAAGGAAACAGGAGGGACATTTTCGCTTGCTTTTATTTTTTTGTCAACTAATGACTTTTATGTGTAAGGTAAGTAGTGAACGAATAAGAAGACTGTGCGATTCCATATTTTGCAACGTGAAACTTATCTGCTCGTCAATTACGACAGCAACACTAGTGTAATTTCCTTTCGCGTATTATCCGAACTGTCAGCCACAAATTAAAACATGAACTGTATCGTTTTCCTTTTTTTTCCAGTATTTTATTCAAATTAATTCCAGATGTACCGTAGATATTGACACAATATCAGATGCTGTTATTGTTTCTTCTCATTCGACAAAAAATCCTTGTGAGTAATTATTGCATGTTTAAAATGGAACAGGGGATACATTTATTCGTAGTACATGAAAATCAAACCTGTGTAAAATAGCATTGAACTCTTCAATTTTTCTCGATAAAACGAAAGGTTTTCCAAGAAAATTCTGTTCTCATGAGTAGCATATGGTCATTTTGTCTCTTTGTTTGATCTGGCTCAGTAGGAAACAGCGTGGCTTCCGTAATCAAAAGCAAGGTGTTGCAAGTTAAACAAACACGTGTTTCATTATAGGACAAACTCCTTTAAAAGGCGTTTCTTTTCTTATAATTGCCAAGATATACCGTTAAAAAGGTCCCAATTCTAAGATCTTTAAAGGTATTCTCTTTTACTCCTTCCAGGATTGCAGCAGCAGGAAACATGAAATTTGTAATCACAAGATGGTCTTTTGTACTTTCCTTTTCTGCTCCATTTGTCATGATCATATATGAGTTAAATGCTGAAAACTTATCAAATAAAACAGGACAGAGAACGACATTATATGTTGGTTCAATGGCGCCTATGACTGGCAAGAGAGCATGGTGGGGAGCTGGAATACCGCTGGCCATCGAGATGGCTTTTGAAGATATCAACAAAAGAGATGATATTCTAAGAGACTATGAGTTAAAATTGATCTCTCGAGACACGCAGGTAAAGGATTTATCTAAGAGACTGAATTTCCCTTAAGATCTTTTCTTAACTCACTCAATTTATCTGTATGTCCGCTAACATTTCGGGAATCACCGGAAGTCAGCTAGCAAAGAAGTGAACTGTTACATTTTTCGCGAAAACACAACAAAGGCACGATGTTCACGCTTTCCTGAGATATCAAATATTTCAAGTCTAAAGACGATATATTTTCCCGTCTTAAAAGTTCGGGCGGTGATTAGATCGGATCGGATTGGATCGCCCTATTTCACAGCTCATTGATCTTTTAACACAACAAACTACCCAACGTTCGATTACATGATCCTTCGGTTCTCAACTACTTTGTCGACTGAGCAGGATGCACGTAGAAAAATTACGAGGAAATAAAGATCCTCTTTCTCTTATTCTTCATATTTCATTTTTCCGTAGGGAGACACTGGTCGCGGGAACAAAGTTTTCTACAATTTCTTAAACGAAGGAAAAGTCCGTCTCATACTTGGTCCTTCGCGGTCAAATGTTGCTGAGTCGGCTGGTGCGACAGCCAAGTACTACAACATGATTCAGGTCAGTAACAGAGAAGTAAACAACAAGACAAAGTAACAGTGGGCTATTGACAGATTCGAAATTAACACTATCAGCTCATTCGATGAAACCAAATTATCTTGTAATACGACGCAGCACTACCATAGATTAATCTAGTTTAGTGACAAAAGTACACAAATAAGGAGACACAGAACCGGGGGGCAGTCAAGGTGTTGGCTTGGCATTACACAGACCTAACTGAGGTTTTTTTCCCAGCAAGATGTGTCAAGTCCATACTTTTTCATATTTGTCTTCGTCGATTACAAAATCTATCTCTATCATGTCTGCCTCTGCTTCACTTTCACTGGTTTTCACTGGCATCATCAGATCGAGGTCAGTCGTTATGTCTTGGAAATAGGCGTTCGTTCGTTCGTTCAAGAAGGAGGCCATTGATTCGTTCCTGTTAGAAGCCCCTGGTTTGTCTTTTCCTTGTGTCAATAACTAAAATATCGTTATGAAAAATAATTTAAGGAAATTATCATTTTGTTGTTTTATTTTTACTCAAAGGTGTCTCCTTCTGCAGCTTCAGGCGAACTATCCAAGAAAGACGTATTCCCTTATTTCTTCAGAACGGTTCCAGCATTGTCTGCCGCAAATCGTACGTTTATTGCTATCGCAAAAACATTTGCGTGGACTCGAGTGGCCATACTGTACCAGAGTAGAGAACTTTTTACATCCGTAAGTATTCTTTTCTGTCTTTAATCGACAACTTTCACTTCTTCAGGCTTGAAGAGGTCTGAGGCTTGAGTGTTCATGCAAATCAGGGATTTTTTCGATCCGATCTCCGTAGCTAAAGCCGGGTCTTTTGGCCTTCTGCAACGAAGATATAAAAAATTCTCAGAAGAAGAAAGAGTAGTATGGATAGATATCAGAAACTTTGTCAGCCATACTAAAAAATTCGAACGGCACTAATATCGTCTCTGTTGAAAATTTCATAGGCAGCAACAAGCCTCAGAGAAGAATGCAAAAAGAATGGAATTGAAGTGATCTCTTATGGAAGCTTTTTGATGGATCCAAAGAATCAAATAAAACACCTTAAGGTACTGTTATAAAACCAGACGATTTTTCCTGAATTTGAAAGATAAGCTTCGCAACGAAATGATACTTTTAGTAATCATGATAAGAAACATCAACATAACTTTTAAAAAGGGAGCTTTGACCTCGATAGCACAATTTTAGATTTAGAATATTCGTATTTATTTGATTCTTACCGTCAAACCCACCATGCTTTGCAGATTTTCGTATCATTATCACCGGACATCCGAATCATCATCTTTTTTTTTTCATTCAAAACAATGGTATTCATCAAATTTTTCTTGGAAATCGAGCTTTCAACTAAATCTATATACTCGATAGTCGAGTACAGGGGAAAAGGATTTCAAGTTAAGAAATCAATCTCATCGGTAGGCCACTAAGCAACGGGTACTGAGCCTCTACCTAGCGCTTATATGTTTTTGGCCATGTTTTTACCTGTGGTATCCACTCCTTAAATTCCACACAGGATATTGATGCTAGGATCATATTTGGTTTCTTTTCCTATTCAACCAGAACTATGTGCGAGGTAAGGAATGCATTTCGAACCAAATTTCCATTCATACTAACTCACCATCATCTTAACTCATTATAGCGGATCTCGCAGCGCGCGCAGCGAAGCCCCATATCAATAAGAGTCCCACAAAACTCACAATCTTTTACACTTGTGTTAGAAACTCTTTAAAAAAGTATAAGTGTCTTTTTATTGGAACAAAATTGGTAGAGAAGGTTGAGGAGAAAATATCGGAGATGTTTGAAAAAAAATCCCCTGGGCTAAGAAGGAGGATGAGGATGCGAGGGAGATCCGATATCCGTCGCTCTGACGTCATTTTCGTTTATACTGAATATATTTACATTTCACTTCTCTTTTAAAGTTTTAAAGTCTTTACCAGAACGCTTTCTCAGAAAATTGCGTTTTGCTGAGATGGCAGGGTCTGAATGTCAGAAAGGTTTTGTAAAAACTTTCTCTAAGTTAAAAAGACAAAGCAAAACAACAGCAACAACAAAAAACACAAAAAGTGAAAAACGTCGTCCCTTGTCGATTATTTATATAATTACCAACATACCGACAAAGAGCGACCTAAGGCTATTACGTTACGATCAGAAATTCACAATTCATATGTTTCAATCAGATAACAACTGTTTTTTTTCAATCTACAACTCCACGTCTTACTTTTTCGCATATATATATTCGGTCCGTAAGTTTTTTTTTGGTAGCAGGCCGGACCCTTTTATTCCTTAAGACATAATCCCAATCAATCAGTCAATCCAATAGAGTGATTTTTTCACTATCAGATCTACAAGCATAATATGCACGGGCGAAAGTACGCTTGGGTTGTTCACACTCCTGACAAAGATGGATGGTGGAGGAGAACTTTCGCTAATGTCAACTGCACACCAGAAGAAGTCAACGAGGGCGCAAAAGGGACCCTCTTAGTTAACTATATGTGGCTCAGCAGCTCAAAGAATCAAACAGTGTCTGGAATGGTTAGTAGATATACAGCCATTTTGATGTATAGAGAATAACACGTGGACGCGCGTAGATATGGAATTCTCTTCGAGTGTTCAACTCGATAGCTCATCGGCGAGTAAGCGCAGCGAACGAGTGCCATGTCAAGTTGAACACGAGAGGAGAGATGCCATATCTGCAAGCAACTATGTATTATTTTGTTTAACATTCAAACACAGTATTAAAGTCGAATTTATTAATGAACGATATAATAGGATCGACAGTACCCGGATAAAAACCGACTAGTGCGTTGGCTCAAGATAAAGACATTCGTTGAATCGTTCCAAAAAAAAAACAGTGGCCGTAATTTTTAATATACAAAATTGTCAGTTATTGACTTTGTCCTTACCGACAGAATAGAACTGTCAGGTGCACAGCCAAAATCGACCTGTGGCAAATGCTCCAGTTGCCAAAGCCACTGAATACGTAACTTTCGGCTTTTCTGGTCGAACTTCGGTTTTCTTCCCCTTCTGGGAAAGAACGTCACTGTCTGTAAGCGATACGGATGTTTCAGTGTTTTCGCAACCATAATCCGAGAAAATTCCGACAAATGACCTTGGATTGAGAATGGCGAAAGCTTTGCCGTTCATTCATCAACTAACCGAGGGGCGCGAAAGGTGAGTGAGTAAGAGCGAATAAAAGGTCTAACGCTCAAAACGTCAGCTTTAGTAACTCTACACGGTGGCATATCAGCAGCTGATTGGCGATATCAAACACACGTGAAAAAATATCATATTTTGTCACGTGCGTTGTTACGGCTTTACTCAGGGCTGGAAATTCTTCTATAACACCGTAGTTTATATGATAAATATCGTTTTCTTTAACAAACGTTTCTCAAAGAGTAACTCGATATCCTGATAATTAAGCACCAACCCTGAGAAAAGTCCCAATCGCGCACGTGTAAAATTATGATATTTTTTACTTGTGTTTGATACCTCTAATCAGCCTTTCTCGCCACTCTACCAGGTTGTTTAATGAACGGCAAAGCGTTCACCACTCCCAATCCAAAGTCTTTTGCATGCTGAAATTTTTCTTATCAGTAAAGAACTATGGTGTTTGTATATATATATAAACAGTACGAGAGCGTGCATAGATTTGAAATTTCTCTTCTTGTGTTTAGATTGATATCTCAACGAACGAGTTCTGTCTGTACGTGTTCCCTTGTGTTACTTTTTATTTAAATTTGATTTGACCAATTGAAAATTATCATTATCATTATTATCATTCCTACTGTAACTACATATCACTATCATTATTATCTGCATTATTATAGCTTCTACGCTCACGATTTCTTGTTTATTATTTCGCTTTTCCTTCCGTTTCGATTCCATGATTATCTGTCTCCTGTTTTACAAGCTGGGGCCTATTTTCTCTTCATGATGTACGGTATCATCACTCACTCAGTATTAATTAGGTGCCTTTCTTTATCAGACACCCGAGGAGTTCAAATCGAGTTTCATTCAAAAGGCTAGGAAATCAGATATAACAGACACAAGCTACAAAGGGTTTGCATATGATGCAGCCTGGCTTGTTGCCCTTGCGTTGAATAGAACAGCGCAAAATTTGGCTCCAACGATTCCTCTTGACACCGTCGCATTTGGAGACAGAAATTTCTCAGACCTAATGAAGAAAAATCTGTTATCAACGGAATTTCAAGGCGTTACGGTAAGTGTAGGATAAAAACGTTTCTATGAAGATTTCTGATTGGTTGAGTTTGATCCATGAATATCTTTACTAAGATCGTTGATTTGGTTTCTTGTGCCTGCCTCTCCTCGTTAGTTTGTTTTATTTTGTTGTTTTCCCCTCTTTTTAGCTCTTGTTTTGTTTTTTTTTCATGAAAATACTTTCTTCCTTCAGACAGTTCCATGAAGGTTAGCGAGGCTAACTTTATAAAGCGAAAGAGACAATGGTAATAAGTAACAAGCGGTCCAGCGATTATTGAATTAAATAGTCAGTCTTGTCGGATATAACATAGAAACTACTAAAGAAGCAGCATATCGTTAAATCCAATCACAATAGGTCAAATTACCGCCATCTTTGATAAAGTCTTAGAAGTTTTGAAAAAAAGTGAGCTTAGCGCCACCTTCAAGGTTGTAAAGTCCCAGGAATTCCAAATATTGCGCTGTGCCACAATGGAGTTTGATTGAGCTGGAATGTGCAGAGCAAGAAAAGTTAGCAGCTTTAATTGTCAACTGATAAAAAGTATTGAGTAGTTTGGAATTATCGTTTTCTGTCCGTAAAAATGACATTCCTAAAGTAGTATAATGTTTCCTTTTTAGAGCTTCTTAAAACTAAATGACAAAGGAGACAGGTCCGGCGTGTTTGAAATATCACAGCTAAGAGGTATCTTATGCTTTTCTACATTCACACAGTATGATCGTGTAGGAAAACTGCCCGAGTAATTATAACAGCCAATCAGAAGAAAGGAAAATACCCTAGGGAGCCAATGAGAATTCAAAGTAATACAGGCAAACTGCCCAAAGCGTGGGAAAATTCAGGCGACGAAGTCGTGATTGGTTTTAGTTTTGCATCTGATTGGTCGAGTAAGTGGTGCGTGATTTCAGGACCAATCACAGAGCAAAGTAAAGCAAAACTAATGCAATCCCGATTACTTTCCCCACTGTTAATAAAATCATGTAATTTACTCTCGATTTGAATAACAATAATTATTTTGGTGTATAGTTGAAATTTTTCGTCAAAATCTTAAACGGAGCATTCTGGGCTCGATTGTATCATCAAAACAGGGAAAACGGCTCGAATAATTTCAGTAATTATGATAAGTTAAATCCATTTTGATAAAGTAACAAGGGAAAAGGAAGGGAGGAGAAAAGTTCCCTTTCCAGATGTACATGCCATGTAACAATAATTCCTGTAATCAAAATAGGAGCAGAGTTTGAAGCCATCTGCAGTCACGATGTTGGACGAACCTCCTTGAATTTTTATCCTGATAAAGACTTTCGCTGGGAAGGTAAACTTTAATCGTAAGCCGGTTTTGCTTGCCTTAGTAACCTTGCGTTAGTAAACAAAACCCCTTCAAAAGTAGTTGTTCCGAATGCATCAAAATACAGTAAACATGAGGCTAATGTTTTCTGGAGTAGGATTCAACTAATGTATTTGATGATTATCGCGTTTTCAACGCTTTCGTAGGTATGACTGGCGTTTTCAAATCTCTGTATGAAGAAGATTTTAATTTTCAATTGTAAAAACCACATACTGGATAAGAAAAAAACTGATCTTACTATCACAGATTACCAATGGCAATCTGTGATAAAACTCGGCATCTTATCCTGACAGAGCTAGTCTAAACCGGACAGGCTCGTATTATCTGCTGACAAGGGTAATTGTGTTGTGGTTATGGACAAACAGCAATATCACGACAAAGTTTTGTCTCTGCTTAATGACAAGAGTACGTATACTGTCTTAAACTCTGATCCTACCAGTAAAACTCAAAGGAAGTTAAACAAAATGTTCCTTGATTTGAAAAAAGCTGGTAGAATTAGTGACTCTACGTACAAAATGTTATACAAGAGTGACGGCTTATGTCCACGTTTTTATGGCTTACCTAAAATTTATAAACCGGGAATTCCTTTGAGACCCATTTTCTCTTTTGTTAATTCTCCGACTTATGCAATCTCGGGTTATCTTGCGAGAATTTTGTCGCCTGCTGTTGGGAATACTGATTACACTGTC